AGGCGTTGGTTTATTGGGAGAAGACATGCTTTCCAAATGACTCTTGGAATGACACATTGGGAATGGAAAACTTTTGGTGTTGTAAGTTGTGAGTATGAAGACTGTTTTAATAATGAGCCAACATTCTGCGTAGGAGAGCTAACCTCTTGGCTTACAGTCTAACAGATACATACAGGTAGTGATCTACCCAGAAAATACTGTCCTAGCCCCTGCCATAGTTGAGTCAAGGGCCTGGAGTATAGAGTCAGGGGAAATAAAGGCTACTTCCTATTCAGAACCACCATGGCTTCTGAACTAGAAATGACTCCAAACAGGGTAGTTTTTCTTTCTTTCCTTTTCCTTTTTTAAAAAGATTTATTTCTTTGGGGCACCTGGGTGGCTCAGTGGGTTAAAGCCTCTGCCTTTGGCTCAGGTCATGATCCCAGGGTCCTGAGATCGAGCCCCGCATCAGGCTTTCTGCTCAGTGGGGAGCCTGCTTTCCCCTCTCTCTCTCTGCCTCCCTCTCTGCCTACTTGTGATCTCTGTCAAATAAATAAATAAAATCTTAAAAAAAAAAAAAAAAAGATTTGTTTCTTTGAGAGAGAGAGAGAGAGGGAGAGAGAGCACATTTGGGCAGGGCAGAGGGAGAAGGAGAAAGAATCTGAAGCAGACTCCACGCTGAGCACGGAGCCCAACGCCGGGCTCCACCTCACGACCCTGAGATCACGATCTGAGCTGAAACCAAGAGTCAGATGCTTAACCAACTATGCCACCAGGCAGCCCCACCTCTAGGCAGTTTTTTTTCAAGTAAGAGATCTATAAAGGAAGAGGCTCCCAGGCTTTTCCAAGAGTTTGGACCTACATCTTGAGTCTGCCCAGGATCAGGCTGTTTCAGGGGAAGAAAGTCCACCAGGCCACCTTTTGTTTGGGGTTTTTCTTGTTATACTGTATAGATTACTGAAGTAAGATGATTTCTTTCAAATTATCTAATTTTGCTTCTCTTCAAACAAGATACTTTTGGGGATATACAATCAATGTGAAATATTTCAATCCATCTTCTCTCAGCCTTTAGGGAGGTTAACTACTATTAAAGTGGAAAATGCCTGTCATTAAACAGAAAATGGGCTATTTTTTAAATTTGCTAACTGTAAAACTAAGAATATGACTCATTATCAAGAATGAGTATATTTTTAAAGGGAGGCTTTACTGCTCTAAAACAAACCAACCCCCTTTTCTTCTGTTTCAGGAGTCTTCTGCTTCATGTCACCAGTAAAGCTTTTTTTCCCCAAAGGGTTAAAAACTTAGAACAAGAGAGATTAAATAGTTGGTTTAGGAGGTTTAGGCATTATACCATCTAGTCTCTTCACTTATTCTTTTAACTTCAATCAGGAATAAAATCCATTCATCGAAGGGCAGGGTTTCCCCCAAACTCAAAGAACAAAACGGCCAGAGGGCAGCACTGGTGAGAGATAAAATGTAGATGTGTGCCTGACTGTAGATCCCTCAGGATTTGTTCTTATAATTTATCTGCTGGGCCTGAGTAAGCCCTGTGTGCCTCTATTATGTGGCAAGAGTCATGAACCAAGCATGACACCAACACTGTTGCTTTTGCAAAGTGTAATGAGAAAGAGCTGAGCTTAACAGTACATGCAAAGGGCCTATGACCCTAGTAGTCAAACTGAGTCATGGAATGGAACTGATCAGGGAACTTAAGAAATGCTTATCATTAAGTCTGGCAAAAGACAAATAAGAACAGAATTACTAATTGTCCCAGAAAAGCAATTCTACCACTATAATATCTAATTAATTACAGAAACTTCTAATTTAAAATTAAGAGCATATATGGACTCTACCAGTAAAGTTCCCATGCTAGTAGCAAAACTCAATATTTCATCTTATGATAATTAGTAAAAATTCTTCAGAGATGATAACATCTATGCAAATGAAAAGTGAAATTAAATTCCATGTTGAGAGACTCAGCATTTGCCTGGATCACAAAACTTTGCTCCTGGAGACCAGTAAATGTGTTACCATGTGAGGAAATTATTTTGGTTTATTCCCCTTTGCAACTCCTTCATAGGACTTGAGCACCGTGGGGAAGAATTACATCCTCTCAGCTCCTCTGAGAAAACCCATTTTATTCTTCCTCAAAAGACAAATCCCAGAATGAAACTGGACCATTATCTCACACGACATATAAAAATTAATTCAAAATGGATTAGGGGCTTAAACATCATACCAAAAACCATAAAATATTTAGAAGAAATTATAGGCAGTAAGTTCCTTGACATTTGTTTTAGCAGTATTTGTTTGGACCAGTCTCCTCAGGGTAACAAAAGCTAAAATTGAAAAAAAAAAGAAAAAAAAAAACCAGGATTGCATCAAACTGAAAAGCTTTTGTACAACAAAGGAAACCATCAGCAAATGAAAAGGCAACCTACTGAATGGGAGAAGATACTTGTAAGTCATACATCTGATATGGAATTAATATCTGAAATACAAATAATTTATAGAACTTAATATAAAAAAACTAATTTAAAAATAGTCAGAGGACTTGAATAGATACTTTCCCACAGAAGACATACAGATGGCCAACAGGCACAAGAAAAGATGTTCAGCGTCACTCATCATCAGGGAAATGCAAATCAAAATCACAATGAGCTATCACTTTACTCCTGTCAGATTGGCTGCTATCGAAAAGACAGAAAATAAGAATTGGCAAGGATATAGAGAAAAGGGAATCTTTGTGCACTGTTGATGAAAATGCAAATGGTGCAGCCGCTGTGGAAAACAGGATAAAGGGTCCTCAAAAAATTAAAAATAGAACTACCTTATGATCTAACAATTCCACTTCTGGATATTTATCCAAAGAAAATGAGACACCAATTCAAAGACAGATATATGCATCCCTATGCTCATTGCAGTATTATTTATAAAAGCCAAGATACGGGACAATGGACAGCTAAGTGTCCATTGATAGACGAATGGATAAATAAGATGTGGTATATATGTATAACAGAATATTACTTAGCCATGAAAAAGGAGATCTTGCCATTTGAGACAACATAGATGGACGTAGAAGGTGTAATGCTAAGTGAAATAGGTCAAGCAGAGAAAGACAAATAATGTATGTGGAATCCAAAAAACAAAACAAGTGAAAAACAAAAGAGACTCATAGATAATGGAAATGAACTGTTTGATACCAGAGTGGGGTGGGGTTTGGGGGGCAGACAAAATAATTTCAGGGGACAAAGAGATACAAGCTACCAGGTATAAAATAAGTAAGTCACGGGGATATAATATACAGTTAGGAAATACAGTCAATGATTGTAATAACTTTGGATGGGGGTAGATGGTAACTGGCTTATTGTGAGGATTGGTTGTAATGTGTAAAGATATCGAATCACTATGATGTACACCTGAAATTAATAGGATATGATATATCAATTGTGCTACAATTAGGACAAAAGATAAGAGACAAGAAGGTGTCTCCAGGGATAAGCAAAATAAGACCCAGCCCACTGGTGAGTTTAGCTAGCTGGGTCTTCTAACTCAGCCTTGGAAACAGAAGACAAGTTCCCTTGGGGGTCAAACCTTCCTAGGCTCTGGGGGTAAAATTGTAACAGTGTCCTCCATCCTTTGTAATTCCAACCCAAACGCTATCAATGAAAACTGCAGAAATCAGCGTCTGGTGAGGACGAACGAGGTTGTGCAGAACTGGGCTGTGTCTGTGGCCATGAAAGTTTGGGTCTGAGCTGCAAAACCAGCATGAGCCCTTCCGGGGAGAGACCTAAGAAAGGGACATCTTTCTGACTCTGACAAGCCAAACCAGCAAACAGAATAGAGGATTGAGTTTTCTCTCCTGTAATTGTTGAATCACCCGACATTTTTCAGCTTGGCTATTCAATAGTTGCTTCCAATTGTTCTGAATTTAAAGGGCTAAGCTAAGAACACCTTTTATCGCTTTTAGTGTTTGGGGGGTTTTTTGTTTGTTTGTTTTTAAGCTAATAAGACAGATACCCTTTTATACATATTGTCAAGGATGGAAAGCCAGGTTCCTAGGGTACCAGTGATTTTCACAGTGCATTAACAGGTCTGATGGGAAACAAATAAGGGGTGGAGAAAGGTATTTTAGAGATTTATTTATTTTTCTATAACACTAGATACCAAGAATGTGAAGACCAAAAAAAAAATTTCTCTTATTCATAAGTGATAATATAACTTCTATTATACCACACCAACTGGGTTTGAATTGTGTCTCCTACAGCCCCCCAAATTCATATGCTGAAGTCCTAACTCCTGTGTACCTCAGAATGGGACCTTCCTTGGTATAGTATCATTGCAGGTATAATGGGTTAGGATTAGCTGCGGCCATAGCGGAGTGGAGTGGGCCCCTAATCCAGGATGTCTGGTGTCCTTATAAAAAGGGGAGACTTGGACACAGACACGTACGCAGATGGAATGCCTCGTGAAGAAGAAGGCACAGATCAGGGGAAGCCTTCTACAAGCCAAGGAATACCAGAGAGTGCTAGCAAGCCATCAAAAACTAGCAGAGAGACGTGGAACAGAGTCTCCCTCACAGCCAACAGAAGGAACCAACCCTGCTAATACCTTGAATTTGGACATCTGGCCAGCACGACTATGAGACAATTAATTTCTGTGTTTAAGCCACTCCGTTAGCTTTGTTATGGCAGCCTTAGCAAAATAATATACCCACAGAGAGAGCAATGGTGGCTATCAAGGCAACTTATTTTTTTTTAAAGAGTTTATTTATTTATTTGACAGACGGAGATCACAAGTAGGCAGAGAAGCAGGCAGAGAGAGAGGAGGAAGCAGGCTCCCTGCTGAGCAGAGAGCCCGATGCGGGTCTCGATCCCAGGACCCTGAGATCATGACCTGAGCCGAAGGCAGAGGCTTTAACCCACTGAACCACCCAGGCGCCCCAAGACCTACTTATTTTTAAAAACAGATTCTTTCACAGTGGAATTAGCCCCAAAAGGAAAAGAAAAGTGTGTTCTTACTCTTAGTTCCTGGACAACAGAATTTGGCTTCTTTATGCTGATCTCAATGCTACTGTTGCCTTGTCTGAGCTCCACCAGGGACCCATGCACTTTGGCCACACCTTCAAACATCTGGGATTTGGTTAACGAGGGGGCAGGGGCCACCGAGGGACATTCTTTCTCCTTCTCCGTCTTGTCACCATGAACTGTTTCTCCATTCACGCTGACTTTCCCATCTACCTATAGGAAACACAAGGAACAAAAAACACATGCTATTTCCCAGCAGAAGACTATAACAATGAAAGAACACATTTAGAGTCACAGTAAGACATTACCATTTATTAATCATAGTCCAGCACAAAATAAGGTCTCTAGTATGCTTCCATCGGTTCTAGAAATGAAGGATCTATGGGCCTCTTTAAAAGGTCGTCTGTCTTCTCAGGCCCCTTCATTTTGGATTAAATTTCATGTCCGCCTTACTCAGGGTGTGCTCTTACTTTAGAGTATATCCTCGGACACTCATAATGCACTCTATGTTAATTAATTGATTTTAAATAAAGTTTTAAAAAATAAAGTGTAGGAAACCAAGGAGTCTTAAGCATAAATACACACCACAAACCTGGATTGTAACACTTCATTTAAATTCTGAATGCTATGCCAGAATTTTGAGTTTTGTTTGTTTGTTTGTTTCTGGTTAGCCTACAAATTAGGTGGAACCCACCTAGGTCAGGAATCTTCTACAGCTTATCCTGTGGTAAGGGGGCAATGGGCACAATTTTGCAAGCTAACATGAGGGCCCCTGGCCGGATGCTATGCTAAATCACAGTAAATTCCTATTTCCAGTTCATTTTCCAACCCCAATTTTCTCAAGAACAAAAGGCCATACACATTAAAATATTTTTGCTTTGTCCCCATGTCTAGGAAAGTTGGTAAAAGCAAGAAAGGAGGAGCAGAGGGGGTGGTTAGTTAGTCTGGCTTATTGAACGGCATCTAGAACTTTCTGTCTTTAAGCCTGAGGTAATGGATAGAGAGGTTATGGGAGGAAGCTCTGCCCTCAGACAGCCTCAGGTTCAATCCTGGCTCTACCATTTAAAATCCACATAATCTTGAACAAGTATCTTCTCCTCTGTGTTCAGAGTCCCCGTCTACCACGTTTATAATAACTGCATTTCCCTGCTAGTGCCACTGAGGGGATTTTTATGGATTAATGTATGCGCAGAGTTTAGAAGAATATCTGGCACATTTTATGTATATAAATATTAGCTATTATTTTTACGAGACTTTCTAAAATCCTTCAAAAGGAATCATGGAAGGCCAGATATTAGTTACAGCTTATTTACCTCAAGCCAGTGGCTTACATAATTTATTGTCTATGAGCCATGAGAAGAAACTTAAACCACAACTAAGCACGCCCAAATAAATATAGCTGAAGAGGAGTTTTTGTAAAACAGTATTTACTTTTATTATGTGTGATGTACCAGACTTTTTTTTTTCCCCTCGTATTTTACTTTAATTTAAAAAATACTGATACCAAGCCACTAAACCGATTTCATAACCCAGCAATAGGTAGCAAATCTCACTTTGAAAAACATGGCCTTAGGGGCACCTGGGTGGCTCAGTGGGTTAAGTATCTACCTTCAGCTCGGGTCACGATCCCAGGCTCCTGGGATCGAGCCCCACGTTAGGCTTCCTGGTCAGCGAGGAGCCTGCTTCTCCCTTTCCCCACTGCTTGTGCTCTCTCACTCTCTTTCTCATAAATAAATAAAATCTTTTTTTTAAAAAGAGGGAGAAGAACACTGCCCTATACTATTTCATTTTATTTTTCTTTACTCTTAATTCTGTCCTGGGAAACTAAGTCTGTATTCTCTGTCTCCCTCACCCCACTGTCCTACTCATAAGAAAACACACACACACACACACACACACACCCCTCTTAGCTTCTGTCCTGGCATTATCTAGTAACAACTTTCCACATACTATCTTTGACCATGACAGGGTTTACCCGCTCAGTGTCGGGGCTGTGATTAGGACTGATAAGCCATCAAGCCTGTAATGAGTCAAGGGCTCATTAGTGGTCAAGAGTGAACCCCAGCTCTAAGATCTCTACTCGGTTCTTCTCCATGAATGCTCTTGCGGGGGAATTAAACATTATTTTTGCCACAACGGTGAGAGACAGGGTTTCCTCAGGGCCAAAGTCTTGCCATCAAGTCATCTGTCATAACTCTTCTGTTTAAAAGATCACCTCGCACTATTTATATAAAGGAGGGGAAGTGGACATCTGGATTATCTGATCAGAGGCCTCAGATACCAAGTTAAGTAAATGTATTCCTTACCCCCATTGTGGGCCACCTCAACATCAAACCTTCCTTCATGAAATATCACAGAAGGTTCTGGAAAGGTCATGGGCCCTGGGTGAAGGAGAGCTGGTGCTGTACTAGGCAGGATAGTGAGCATGTCTGGGGACATGCTTATCTGTGTGTGAGCCCACATGATGAGTAGCTCATTTTCTCAGGAAAATGCATGTATATATTCAATAAGAACTATGCCCTGGGCACCGATGCCAGACTCCCAGGACAAAGTTGTGGCAACAAAGATACAGCCCCAGTCCTTCAAGGGACACACATCTCAACTCAACACAGATGAGACATCCAGGATTCCCTTCTTTTGTTTTATCGAAGCCTAAGGAACAGACTTTCAAGATCCATTCCGAGTAACTTAATCAGAAAGTGTATATACAGTTTGGTTCCCTCTGAAATTCAATAGGAAGATACATGATATCACATTGCTCAACTAGTTTAGCCAAGCAAACTTTCTTTATAGTCATGTGCCCCTGTCTCCTGCTGATGAATTCCACCTCTGTCTTCTATTAAGAACCCACGTGGTGTGCAGGGACAATGAGAACTGATTTTTCTTTGTAGTCCGAAGAGCTTAAGTCAAAGAACGAGTATTTCCTCGTGATGTGAGGGAAAATACCGGAAATCGAGGCGGTGAAAAGACGTTTGGTGGTCATAGGTTCTTTGGTTCTGGAACATTACTTTACATAGTCATTGGTAGAAAACAACCTAGTTTCTTTCCCCTTTAAAAATATTTGTAAAACCCTGTCTCATCTGAGAATCAAATACATCGCATACTCCTATGTATTCCTTGTATTGTCTCTTTTCTTTTGCAATTGTAGCATCTTTCTGGATATGATGTCAAATTCTTTAAAAAGAAGAGGTAGCTGCATATACTTCTACTTAAACCAAAGGCAATGACAATTTGGTTTGAAGGAATTCACTATACCTCCACAGGGCTGGAGATCCCCAAGGTTTCACTGAATTAAGGGTTGGGGACCACTACTCTAGAGAGACACGCCATTACATCGAACTGGGAAACACACCTGGCTCCTTTAACTATTTGCAAAGCAAATCTCCTGAGACATAAACTTCACAATCATCAACGGTAATACATATCATTTCTGTTTGATCAACAGAACTGCATCTTCTTGGGGGCAAGATGCTTCTTTCCGCTAATTACCCGGGGTTCACTTTTGGTTCTCCTCTTAAGGAATGCATCCTACCTTAAAGGTCTTCAGAACCTCTTGCGAGTTTTTGGGCTGGGAATAAGGCTTGGGTGTCAGCATAGGCACAGCTTTGGGGGTGACAGTTTTGCTTGGAGACCCGCTGCCTGCTGGCGTGCTGGTGTCCAGAACGCTGGTCCGAGCGATGGTGGTCTCCACGGTGGCAGTGAACTTGGGTGGGGGCAGTGACTGTCGCCGCAGGTACTTCATGGGGCTAGGGTCATTCAGGAAGGGGGTTAAATTTGGCTCTGTGGAATGGCTTCTTTCCAGAATTTTTGGCATCTCCAAGCGTTCGAGAACAGCCTCGCTGATGGTGAACCGCTCAATGTATTGTTGAAGGATCCCCTCTGCCTCTTCTTGGGACCGTGCGTTCTTATAGGCTTCATGCAACTCCCTCTCTCGCCGCTCTCTAAAGGATGGGTGAGGGAGGGGAAGCAAGCACAGAGGCAACCATCACAAAATTGCAAAGAAGACCTTGGTAGCAGCCAAGGCTGAGCCGAAGGGGGAGCCCAGGGAGTGTGTGATATTGGCATCAGAGTCTTTGTGATAACCAACGATTTTTAGAAAGAGCACATCTAGATACCATTGCACATGGACAACAACAACAACAACAACAGAAAGGACTCACTTTTCTTGAACAATTTCTCTGTAGGTTTTGATGCTTTTCCTTCGTTCACTTGTTCCATCCTCTCCAGCCAGTAACTTCTCCATTTTCTTCCTTTCTTCCTCTTTCTTGATTAAGTCCTGAGAAGCACTTCTTCTACGGCTCTTCCAGCGAGCCAGGTCCTAGGGGGCAGGGGGCAAAGGGTCAACAGAACGTACTTCCACAGGCCTGCACACAACCCCATTTCTACTCTGCAGAGTGGAGTGGGCACTGACTATGGGCCCACCATGATGTGAGGCCATATCTACTCAATCCAGGGTAAGTCTGGTGGGAACAGGGATGCCTCAGAGGCAGGAAGCATTCCCATAGAACCACAGTATCCAGAGCGGGCCGGCACCCCCATTTAAACATGGTAATAGGAGCCATGCCATCACATCTCATATCAGCTGCTAAATTTTAAAGAATTGCTTCACGGCACCATAAGAAGCTTCTTTTCTTCCAGTGTGTGACCTGCATATTGTGAACAGACTTGTTGACAAGAGAATGGGAGGAATCAAATGCAGACTGACACAATTCCCTCAGGGAAGGAACAAAAGGCAGAAATAATGATTTCTGGGATGCTGGAGTCAGGTGGGTGGGATCAAAGCTGTAAGAGAGGATCTCGGTGCCAACTGTTCCCATGCTTTGGGATCTCAGGCATGTTTGTCAGCCTCTCTACACCTCAGTTTCCTGATCTCTAATACGAGGATGACAATGACAGGTCCTCTTCCCAGCCTATGGCGAGGGTTAAATGACATATTGCCTACAAGGTGCCAGCTCAATAAATGGTAGACCTGATTCTTACTACATTTCATGGACTTTAACTTTTCTGACTGATGGTGCAGTCAAACCTGCAAGGGCAACCTCAGAGAGCTCTGGGAGGACCACACGGAAGAATCCATGCTCCTTCCCGTTATCCCCATCTCCCAGCTGTTCTCCGCGCTGGCTCTTCCCTAGTTCTCATCCTGGCTCCCTCCCTCACTAGCTGTGAGACTTTGGACAAGTTACTCAGCTGTTCTGGGACTCATCTGTGGAACTGAGGACGGTACTAGCTGCTAGCTCACTGAGTCACTAAGGAAACGGAAGAAAGCCTACACGCAAGGCAGTCAGAACAGTGTCTGTGACTGGTACGCTTTTGACGTTGGCGCCTACCGTTGCCATCAGCAGCAGACACATTTCCATTTCAACAGAGCATCTCGGAAGACAGTGCATCTTTAATTCTACATCCCATGCCAGGCGCCTCCCACCTGCACCCCACCCCCTCCCTTTATGGTCAAACTTCTAGTAGGGGGGACTTGAGCAGTACCTGTCTGCGTCCTTCACTCTTCACCTTCCATGTTGTCATTTACCTTCCTTGAATTCCCACACCTCCTGTGTCCCTGTTCAAAATCCCCCAGGGGCTCCCTCCCCCTGCCCGGCTTTCAAGTCCAAGTCTACCTGCCCCACCTGACTTCCTGTTGGGGGGGGGGGGGGCTCTAGCCCACACAGCCTCCCTGAGGCCCATGGCCTTGGCCGGCACTCACATCTTGCCATTTGTCGTCCTCTTCCCGCAGCTGGTTATTTATCAGCTGTAGCTGCTCCTGGCGGGCCCTGCTGTGCGGCTGCACCGTGGCCTCCTCCTCACACCGCATGTCAAACATACTCGTGCTCCTGAGTGTGGAGAGAGAAGAGACAAAAATGGACCGGTGCCCGGGGTGTGCTCTGCGCGTTCTGCCGCGCGGGGGCGCTACCGCGCTGACCAAACGGCCCCTTTCCCTCCGCAGCTCAAGGCAGCGGCGCGATGCGGCGTGTTGCGAAGCCCCAGGCGGCAGGCGGCAGCCGGCATGCTGGCACCCCCCGCCTCTTCTCCTTTTGCCCCCAAAGCCAAAAGGGGACCATCTTTGCCTTCAGGGGTGGCTGCAGCAAGTCAATGAAATTTTTTTTAAAGATTTTATTTATTTATTTGAAGAGAGAGCGAGAGACACAAGCAGGCAGAGCAGCAGAGGTAGAGGGAGAAGCAGGCTCCCCACTGAGCAGGGAGCGCGATGCGGGCTCGATCCCAGAACTCTGGGATCATCACCTGAGCCAAAGGCAGTCGCTTAACCACCTGAGCCACCCAGGCGCCCCGAGTCAATGTAACTTTATACGTAGGTGCCAAAACGTGTTTACATAAGAGCTAGAAAAAGGTATTTGGAGCTCTGGGCTCTTCTCGTTTGGAAATGTATTAGGAAACAAATGAGAGAATTAAAATGTATATAACATGGAGAGAATTTACGGGCAAGGAGGGTGGCATTCCGTGAAGCAAAACTTCATTACGGTAAATGCTTGTGCAACGAGCTGTCTGTCCTACGTGCTTTCTCCATGAAAGCAGTTTCTCCACTTTCAAAAAAATCATCCAGCCTCAAGTCTAAGACACCCAACTTCTCATACTGAAGTTTCTGAATTGTGGATGCATCCAAGAACTATGCATTAGCGATTCATATGTTTGCTGTGGTTATTTCTATTTCCTGTAAAAATGCCCATAAATTGGAAGTGCAGTTGATAGCATCTCGGAATCAAGAAAAAAAGGTATTTTATCGCAAGATTAAGGAATAAAATATGTAAGTCAGTCTATAGTTTGCATCTTAATATTCTCACAAGCATTTTACCTCATTTTTGTCAGGATACTTCTGAGTTTACTCTTTTACAAGAAAAAGCTTAGGGAAAGTAATTTTTTAAAGCCCTTAGGCTGTACATATTACTGATATGTTCTATAGGATCTTATTAAATGTTGGGCGAGACCATAGGGCCTCTTCTGTGGTGCTTACACAGACCTTTGTTACAGCAAAAGCTGAAGCAGCAAGATGAAGACAGAAATAAAAACCAAAGCAAAATCCTCAAAGAAATGAGCTCTGGGACCAAGGGGGTTACACAGTCCAAAAGCAAGAAATGGAGGTTCACTGTTAAACTCTAAGAACAGAAGACTATGATAGTCCATTTTTGAAGCCAGCCCAACACAAAGAGAAAGAGAAGCCATGCACTTAGACACCACTTAATCCTAGACATCATCGATGATGTCCCAAACAGTTCTCCCCGTGGGGAGACAATGGACAGCAGCAGCGTTCCTGGACGCCAGTGGGGTCCTGAGCAGACAGCCTATCTGGAAGGGGAAGACAGATTCCCAGTGCAAAGGCTGCCCGCCTTCATTCCGATGCATTCAAAATGAACTGAATGGCTCTGTTGGGTGCCTCTTCCTTCTCTCTAGGGGTTGGACTATTTAAGTCTGACCTAAGAGAGCTAAAACTGAAGACTGTACTTGCAATCTGTCTTACCCAAGAGTATTCGAATACTCTGACTGCATAGCAGGACCTTTCCCTGAGGCCTGTTTGGCACAAATATGACAGACCACCACGGGGAACTGCCCCTACGTACCCAGTGGATAGTGTTGACTATGGCAGCTATGTCTTCTAGAAAGATAAACTGCGGTCCTCCAAAGGGGCGGGGGGCTGTGATTTTTCATTTATTTTAGATATTTATTAAGGTTGTTTAAGAAAGATTTGGGAATTTGCAGCGGTACACAGAAAAGCCTAACCTCATGGTTTTTTGTTTATTTGTTTATTTTGTTTGTTTTTAAAACATCATGGATGAAAATTCGCTTAAGTAGGCTTTCCAGAAAGAGACTGAAATTCATTCCATTCCTGGAGCCAGGTCTTCTTCTGGAACCCCAGGAAAAAATGGCGGCCTTCTCCAAGATTTGGGATCTGGTTATGTCACTCGGAAAAGAATGGGAGCAAGGCCTTGAGAACTGCCGCCTTCTGTCCTGGGGTCCTATCTCTGTTGCCACCATGAAGTTCTCATGACCCCAGCCCAAAGGTGGCCAAAAGCAGGTTAGTGAAATAAACTAAAGAAACTCGGGTTTGCCCTCTCATATACCAGGAAGTACTATTTTTCCCCAGAGTGGTTTTGTTTTGTTTTAAAGAAATTCCAGCAACCTGACCAAAAAAGAACTAACTGAACTATGAGTTATGTCTTTATGCCATTTCAAAAAAAGGAACTAAGCAAGTTGAAAATTGATAATACAAGACAGAAAATGCGCTGAGTCACCATTCAGAAAATGTCCCTTACTTCAGAGGTTGGACTTAGCCTCCAAAATGAAGAAGTGTGTGCTGGGGGGAGAGGGGGATGCAGGGTATGTGCAGGGTGGGGGATCCTGGAGAAGCCCAGGCTCCAGATTATTAATGTGGGTTCCTCTCAGCATTTGCTCTCAGCCCATGCCTTGTGCTGTTGGGATGACGGTCCCGGCTGCCACCCCCAGAGTCTCCCATGAAGGTGAGGTGGCACTTTTGAGGGCCAGGATGAAATCACCTCCAGGGAAGCCTGGAAACTGTTTCGGGGCCAGGTCGGAGGTGAGGGAATTAGGAATAAAACAGCCTCCAGCTCTCACGGTGCACAGGCTCCGTTGGTGGGCAGAGCCTTGGGACGGGAGGAACGTGCACGTGAAGAAAAGGGCCAGAAGGTGAAACTGTATCTACGGAAACATTTTTGGCTTGCTGGGAGGCGGAAATCTCTGTTTGCCTGTGTGGTAGGTCTGCCCCCGACCTGCATTTTCCTGAAAGGGCACATCTTTTTTTGATTGGACTGTATTTTAAGAACGTGCCAGTTCTGAATAAACAGAGCCTGTGCCAATAATTGCCCTTAAAGATTTTGGAAAAGGGAGAGAGTGGGGGGAATACACGAAACATATAACGAATATCTATTTGAAAACTAAGGTCCCAGGATAAACTTTGCATTTTGCACCCCACAAGGCTTCATGTAGGTTGCGTCTACTCCCAAGAAGGAAATTCGGCACTTTGGATACTCCCAGGTCAGACCTCTGGGAAAGAAGTTCCTTTTACTCTTCTTAGTCCATGAGGTCACGTTTTGTAAATTTGGGGCAGAGAAGGGAGTCCCCACCTCCACTGCCCTGAAAAAAAATCATTCACTTTTCCTGTGGGTGAGGTTTCATATTCAAGGTACAGGCAAGATTCAAACTTTCCTTCCCATGGCTTCCTTTCTTCCACTTGTTGGGATTTCCCAGAGATCCATGCTAGGCCAACTGCCCGGGCGCCTTGCGCTGATGAAGAATAAATCCATCCCATCAAAATGTTTTTGTGAACCAAATCAAAGTAACGTTTTGCCTATCATCTTAGATGATCTTCCTTTCAGTGCATGTTAAATATCACCAGTGCAGATTTTCAATGTTATAACTGGGGCTCAATTTTACAGACTACTTAACTCTATGCAGTCTGCCAAGCTCAGGGGGAATTTGGTTTTGAGACATGGCTGTGCTGCACGTCAGGACACAAAGCCATCAGAGATGGCACACTGGAAACATATCCTGACACCCGAGGCAGCCCGCTTGGTGCTAGGACAAACCAAGCTGACATCTTGAACATAGACGTGGAAAAGGTACTGGAAGCTGGGGTTACTGAGGAAACAGAAATCTGGGGGCCCAGTCTCTTTGTCGTTGGTGGCAATGATTTTTGTGTTTTGCACCCTTATTTAAAGACTCCTCACTTGGTGACTGAAATGTCTTTGGCCAGTGTGTGCTCTTCTGATGGCCCCGTACTCCCACCAGCACACGGACTGGTCCTCCCAGAGACACCAGGCTCAGCAGGGCCACTGACAATGGAATTAGGTATTAATTAGGTTTCTCAAAGCACAGATTTACTCAACTTTGAGAAAGCTAGTACTGTGCCAAGAAAACGTTTGCCTTGGATATCTGCTTCGGAGTGCTCTGCAGATGGGAAATCCATTTCTGAAACAGTTCCTGTGGTCACAAATGGGAGAGTGTTGGCCCCTTCTCAAATTTGGACGTGAGGCAGAAGTAGGGAATGAACCTCTGAGAGGAGTGGAAACGAAGGAGTCAGGAGAGGAAGGCCAAGTCATGTTTGACATCCTGACTCCTTGCTATGCCGCAGAACTAGAGTGCAACCCCAATATTCTGGTCTTGAGCATCCCACAGTATGTTACTCCAACCTGGGAGGAACTTGGGCTCCTGATTCTATAATTAGTGGTTCAGAATTTGTTTTCTTAGCTCAAAACAAAACAAAACAAAACAAAAAAACCAGGGCCATGAGAATGACTCGCCTCATTGTTAACTCCAAGCCCTAACATATCAAGAATTAAATGCAAAAACGCTGAATAATTCTGTGGTTTGGAAGGGGTACCAACATCCAGACCATAAGACCAGCCTCCCCATGCCATGTCTATGAAAAGCAAATGTTAAGTTTAAGCAGCAGCTGTGTATTAGAATCATGCTTGAGTTACTCTTTCATTCATCTCTCCTGCACAGAACATATGTTCTGCATTCCAACTTCAAGTGCTTTTCCGAGGCTGCATGAGTCGGTTAGCTGCTCAGTTCACTGTCGCATTAATTGCATTTGAATTAGTGGTAAGTATGAGAAACATGCAGTTTAAGCTAGTCATTAATGGATTCCTACAAACACAAGACAACTTACTCTGCGTCATCAGACACAGGAGTTCTCGGACCGTATCTACAAGACCAAATACAAAATTAGAGGATGGGAAAGACAGAAGGTTAGCTCTGTGACCAAGCTGGCAATAAACATTACCGGCGACATATTTGCGTGTCAAACCTTTTTTGCTGATCGCGCTGGAAGAGAAGCGTCGTGACACAATTAGCGGCATTTATTAACTTCTGGAAATGAAAGAACAGTCTTGACATTGCCAAAGAATGCAAAATGTGTATTAAAACACAGAGGAGAGATGAAAATAATCCCCACGCTACCCACAAAAAAAGAGTCTGTTCAAAATAAACATAAGAAGGCTTAGGTGCAACCCGCAATGTTTAGAGAAGGTAGTTTAAGGTGGAGTGGGGGGAGCCAAACTTGTAAATCGCTCACAAACAGTTAAACCGTTCATGCCTTTGTGTTCGCCAGTAACGGGCTGTAATGGACACCCAACATAGAAGCACACGCTTACTGACCCTTTCCCTGGTGTGTTAATGCATTTGCACGAATGACATCAAAGAGTGTTTCTGCAGTTTTCTGAAAGCAAACCATAGCTCCAACCAGAACCCCAATCAGTGTCTTCCGCATGCGTTTGACAAAAACCACAATTCCTAGAAAACTGGCAGCCTTAATCAAAGCCAGACTTGGATAATATTCCATAACTTGAAAAACCAAAGTTTTCCTTTTTACAGTCTTTTATATCCTTCTGATTGTTTAGATCGACAAAGTTGTACCTTCTGCAGGACAGACACTTTAAGTTTTAATGCATTTGATAAAGCGAAGAAAAAGGTTAAATTAGAAAAAAGAAATTAGGACATTGAAAGGGCATATTTTAAAGCATTTTAAAAAGCAGCTTCCACAAATGACTATCTCTTCAGCAAAGGGAAATGTTAAGAGAAGGTTCTTACCTATGCCCTCAAATGCGGTTCATTTCTCCACTCCAGTGGTGGACAAAGAATTATTTGAGCAAAGAAAAAAAGGTCCTGCTTTCAGTTTCCAGCAAATTAAATTTTGTGGTTTTCAGCAAAAATTACCTAGTCTCGTGTTCAGTTTCATAATAGTTCATGGGGAAAAGAGTCATTTCTAGAGATGTCTTCCTCTAATCTTGGGGAAAACACCCTGGAATGAATGGGCGCATGCGCACCCCATCCCCCACGCACACACCCTTCTCTCTTACCTGCTCTTATCATTCTAGAACAGTCTGCATTTGTGCATTCATTAATACTTGTTTTCATTCACAGCAAAGACAACCACACCAGTGCAAGACCCAAAGTCTCTGTTGAAATGGCCCAAAGGTTTGCGGATATTTCTCTTCTGGCAGTTAAGACTCATTTTCTGTTTTTCCAGGCGATAGTTTCCGAAGGGGCTAAAGTTTAACCCAATACACTCAATTTTCTAAAAACACTCCTACATTTGGAATCGATGACCAACGGATTCCTCCACAGTCAAGGGAGAGTGCATGAGCAGTTAGTTCTGAAGACTGGATCAACGTCTGCTGGTTCATAGGCCTACTGGAGTAGGCTTACTCAAATGCAGCGTTTTCTAAATTATCTATGGAGGACAGCAGAGAAGTTCTGCCTAGTTAACTGAGAAATAATGAACTGGTAGGATGTGTTTTGTGTCTCGATCTGAATATTTTTGTTCATGTGTTATTGAAGGAGACTGTACATACAGAAGGGCACCGGCCACACACATACCCCTTGGTGAGTCTGCGCAACCCAGACACAGCCAGAGATCAGCGTCGAGTGTTCTGTACTATGTAGATAGTATGTATCTCTGCGAGTATGGCTCCTTAACCCCATTTCGTTGATGAGATTCAGGGATATCTCGTTGTAGCAATGGAGGCTGTATCTGAATTTACACTGCTTCTATGCAAAATACTTAACAGCCTTTCACTGACATCTCTGCCAACAAATGTAGATTCACGCTAAAGTGTAAGTGCCATGAGGGCAAGGAGCTCTTTTCTGGGTTCCCTGAACAGCGACCAGATGAGGTCCTCCACTAAGTATTTATTGAGCACTTACTGGATGCTCTGGAAATTGAAGAGAAAAGCACAGCTTAGTCTCTCAAGATAATGTTCATTTACCCTTTTACTACACACTCACGGATTTCAGGAATCACCTCCTAATTCATTAGATTTAAGAGGGCATCCATTTAAGCAGAACTGTCTTTGCAGTTAAGGAGAAGATAATTCGAGCTTGGGCTTCAAGTGAGTTTCTCCTCTGTTCTATGGGAAACTGAAAAGTAAAGGGAAGTTTTTAAAAAAATCACTAATAAAGAGATTTTAAAAATTAATACAAAGTAGGTGAGTCAATAGGTATAAAATTGGCCAGGCCAATCACAGTTGGTATAAGTATCCTACCAGAAAGAAAAAAAAAAAAAAAAAAGGAAATGAAAAGGCAATGAATAAAGTTCAATTCTGAGAGTAAGGATATTTAGAAAGATAAAGAGAATATTCTGTGCATCTATTTCATGTATGTAACTTTTGGCACTAATCAAGCATTTTGGGATCAGTAATTAGCTGATTCTATACCTCCATATTGTGAACTGGCACTGCTTCTTTTGAAGTGAGAGGGGAAAAAATGGGTCTCTTGCTCTTTAAAATTATCCCCTAACACCCAGCCCTGTGTTTTACACATAGTAGTTACTCAATAGATAGTTGTGAAAAAGAAACATGAATTCCCAAGGCGTATGCCCCCCTCAGTCACGCAACTGGGACACATAGCACGTGGGACCACATCTCCTGCTCAAACTAGCCATTCATTCTCATTTGGATCTAAAAAGGACTTTCTCCAAATCACAGAGGGACAGTTACAAGTGACAGGGAATTCATCAGACTGCCACTGTTTCCTCTAGTAACCGGTGAAGGCCACGTGCTGGAGGGGGACCATGGCCTTCAGCTCAGGTAGGGCTGGGTCTGAATATTGGATCTGTAATTACCAGCTGTGTGGACATGGGCCTCCGTTCCCAATTGCAAAATGCAGATGAAAATTCTTCCTCTCAAAGGTCGTGCGAGGAATAAGTCAATGGGAAAACACCCAGAAAGGGTAGGCAGCCACGGGCCCCACATCCTTCTTCCCTTTCATGCTCACTTGCTTTACAGCAGCCCAAGACACTGGGGCCATGCTGTGTCAGGGCATCTGGAAAGTGAGTGAGGGTGGTGGACGGGGCCCATCAGTCAGTCCCTCTGTCTCGAACCAGCCCTGACAGGCCCTGACCAGCCGGGATCCACGTGGGATCTGCTCACCGATTTCTCTGTCCATGGCCCTACCTGTGAATTTCCAGAAGGTGAGCTAGAGGGAGCAGCCACCCTTTGAAAGGGCTACAGAGCACTCTGTACTATATAAAACAACAAAACACAGCTCGAAAAGTACTCCCGCCTCCTGAAACCAACGTTACAACAAGGTTCTGCGACAGTGCTAGGAGAATTCGGAGGCTTACACGGCACAGATTAAATCCAGGTCACAAAGATAGACGGGATCTTCATTTCAAAATTTGGGTGTCACTTAAGGTTTTCCCTGCTTCCCATCCTAGCCTCTGACTCGCTACTTTTAGGGTCCTTCATGAACCGGAACCCCACTGCTTCCTATTTTCTAGTGGATCCTGTCATTATGCCCAACACCTCTCACTTTTATTCCACTCAGATCTGGCAGACCCTACTTTTAACAAAAATGTACCACTCTCATTAAATGGCAACAGAGGCTTCAACATTTAGGACTTTTAACTACAAACTTCAGATTATTTCCTTACTTGTTCTTCTTTTTTTTTTTTAAGATTTTTTTTTTTTTTATTTGAGAGAGAGAGAGAGACAGAGATAGTGAGAGAGAACACATGAGCAGGGAGGAGAGGGAGAAGCAGGCTCCTCAGTGAGCCGGGAGCCCAACCTGCGGCTCCGTTCCAGGCCCCCAGGCTCATGACTTGAGCCCAAGGCAGACGCTTAACCCACTGAGCCACCCAGACACCCCTCCTTATTTGCTTTTTTAAATCAAGTCACAGCATGGAATTAGAAATCTTACTTTTAGAAAGCCCTGAGTGTTTGCTAATGTCGAAATGAAATGGAATTACAAATTGGTACGTGGTATACGTCTTCTTTGGACCTGAAGATGTTCCTGGAATCAAAGTGAAATCAAGTAGCTCAGAAAGACGTTCAAATCCTTTACCTGAGGGCTCCTATATGAGCTAGGAAGAAATAAGAGTTACCCATTTAGGGGGCCCACAAGATGAGTCAGAAAAAAAAAATTTTGTTGAACCAGAAAATTCACAAATGCATCTTCTTTCCATACCTGCTTATAGGCAAAACAGGAAAAAAAAAAATTCTTGGCCAATTTTTATCATTCCATTTCCGCAAGCAATCGCAGGTAAGTGGCGCTGAGGTATCATAACGCGTTAATAACATACTCAAAGCATCTACGAAGGCTCAGACCAGAAAAACAAAACCACAAAGGCTCAGGAAAATCTTCTGACCTCTTATCCTTCAACGGCGGACCCCGGGCAGATTCCTCCACATCCTGCCGCTTTGCAAATGGAACTGGAAGGAACTGGTTTACGTTGGCTCCCACGCGTCTAAGACACATCCCGGTTCTTCTGACCATCATGTCATCTTTTTGTGAGTCACACAACTTTCCTGGGCCTTTCGGTCTGCTGCTGCTCCAGGCAGGAGCTGTCATCCTCTCTGAGCTCTCTTCTGTCCCCGAAGTCTTGCATTCGGAGGCCAGGGGACACACACTAGGGCAATATTCAGTCCAGCCAGTCAAAGGCCACTTATTGCTAAAGATGTTTTCAGTAGCATCCCCCAATGGCATCAGCCCAAGACAGAAGAAGCCAACGTCCATGGAGGCAGGAGCACACAGAGCAACCGAGTACTAACACTGTGGGCCTCCATCATGCAACGGGTACTTACACCGGAACGGGTTTCCCTTTCCGGTTTTTCAGGATTTCCGAGAATGAAATCTGGCCAGCACCCAACCACATGCAAAGGCTCCCATCTCTACCCAGGGAGGGCACTGAGAGCAGGACTCTGACCCTGGGCTGGGTGCATTCTTCTAAGTGACTGAACTCCACACCACGTCAGTCATCAAGGGCATACTGTGGCTCGAAGCTGTTTTCTGGGGACACAACAGCCACACACAGCAGAGGCAGCACACCCTGGAAGGCAGGCAAGTGCTCACAGTGGCTGGCCGCTCTCCTCTGATGGCTCAGCCTTTGGCGGCATCTCAGAATCTCTTTGAGCAACTCCTTCCTTCTCTTCCTTGCCATCCTGCGGCAGCTGTTTGCATGTCGCTGAAGCCAGAGAGGACAACTTTACTGCTAGGGAAGAATTCACACCCGAGGCCTTGACCCCACCTGTCATCCTGCACCTCCCGGGAAGGGAGGGAACGTCGCTCCTCACCTTCCTCCGCTCCTGGGTGCTCGCTCAAACCGCAGACGTGCTCCTCCTGGGTCTCCAATACGGGACCCAGCCGCGACACCCTTTTGCAACAGTCCCCTACGCCAGAATTCACTATTCTGTTGACAATCAAGCAGCATTGGTAGCAAGAGAGAAGAGGAAAAAGAATTATGAAAGGACACAACAAACATTGTTGAGACTGAGAGATTAAGAAGAGTTTGGCTGCTCTCATTCTGGAAGCTAGTTAGTAAGGATGACATACTCAGATGGAGAAAGCGAGCGCAGCACCTGCGGAAAGCCAAAGAAGGGCTGGCAAGAGCCTGTCCCCACGGGGGATGAGTGATGGCCCCCTCAGTAGTCAAGCACTCAACGATGCATTTCTTACTACCTCCTGACCCCCACCCCAGATCCCCATCAGCCTCTGAAACACCAACTGTATATCTGGTGTGCGCAGATTATTTCTATCTACAGTCTGCTCTCCTCCATGCTGTCGGCCATAAGTACTAGATGAAAGACACCCGTCTGTGCATCATGGACCATTCACTGTTGCCTTTGGATTTCAAGGACAGAGCACCGAGGAGGACATCTTGAGCATTTCCCCTCGCCATGGAGAGCATTACTTTGCTCCCGACACACAGGTGGAATGGAGGTTCCCAGGATAGTCCAGTGGCTTATAAACCGCCCATACCTGCTTCCTGGAGGAGAGACCAGCCCACAGAACTGAACCCCCAGGAGAGGACCTGGGATTTCAAAGCTGGAAGGCCTCCAGTGAGGAGGGGAACGGCTGACAGGCCTGCATGGGCTTTTCCCAGGTGATCCCTCACACACTAGGAGGGCGATTCAGCTAAGGAAACTCTTGACTCATAGGAACCCCAAGAGAGGAGTCTTTTTCCATTCACAATTCATCATACCTTTTTTTTTTTTTTAAAGTAGGGGAGGGAAGAGACCTTTATTTTCTTTTTTCACTTCCATGTCCAAATTTGAACGAATGATATTAGTAACTATTTTTTCCTCCCTCCCTGGGATAGGAAAAGAGGGAGGTTGTAGATAAAACTGAATTCTATCAACATATCTCTAGAAGAAAGGCTAGGGTATCATTAAAACATTCCGTCGAGTTCATTTCAGCATTTGCAACTAATAAAACAGGGCTGAATGCAGCCGAGGGGAAAAGGGTCCTTGGCCAAGATTACTGGCATTCCCCGGCGGTGATTCTGGGGACAAAGGAATCAAAATGGACGCCCGCCATTAACTTTCACACACGTGCTCCTCCCCAGGGCGACCCGCGGACGTTGCTCCTCTGCCAACCAGCCCAAGAACCCGTTCCAACTATGGGATCGCCGCAGGTTTCTGAGAGGTGCTTCGACAGACCCTTGCAAAGCAGCAGCGGCTCCTAGGCAGGGCTTGGACACGGATGGAGGAAAATACCTGTGGTCATGCTGTGCAGTAAGCATTTGGTCTTTTCCTAAACTGGACGTGGCCGCAGAGGAAGGGGAGACAGAGTTAGTTTTGGTCTTGCTGCCACGACTGAGGACTCCTTCCACGTCCTCCCTAGGCCCAGCCCGGCCGATGCTGAGCCGCTTCCATTTCTGCTGATCTATCTCTGTCACGGGTCCAAAGTGCACAAACTTTTGCTGAGGGCTGGAAGCTTTCTTATAGGCCCTCGCTTTGCGGCTGGCAAAATCATCACGAATGGCAGTTTCTGCTTTAATTTCTGGTGAAGGCTCAGGGGCACAGATGGGCTCAACATCTCCATCCCTAGTCAGAACCAGAAATGAGTTCCAAAGATTTCTTAGGCAAGTGCAAATTACTAAGAGCTTCCCCCCACCCCACTTTGGAATACCAGATTTATGAAAAATACTAATATGGTTAGAGCAGAATTGCTTTTCCATTCATCAAAGGAAGGAACGGTCATAGTCTTGCCTGGTAAATAAGGCTTTAAGCTTCTATGGTGCTCAAAATATCACTTCTAACATCATCAATGATGGCATAAGAAAATCTTATGTATGGTGAAATAATGAAAATGGGCTAAAAATCACGTAAACAAGCCTATCAAAATTACCTTTCACAGTAGTTGGTTCAATTAAAGAGAATGTTTTCCATCCAGTGACTCGTAACTTTCGGTATTAATAATTTTCGACTCATACAGAATACACTATGTTTTAGGAGGTATTTTTTTTCTCCAGCCATGAGAGTAAAAAAATGATAGAAGGATAAACATTTGATTCCTTCAAAGTTTAACGAAACCGCTTGCAGGGAAAAATTCAGGAAAAGCATGACACACCTCGTCTTTCCTGACACTTTCAGTCTCTCCCACGTCTCCAAGTCCGCTTCGGTGATATTGGAGACTGTGACAAATCTTGGAGCCTCTTGGTGAGGGCCAAGGAAGCCCTGAATTCTCCGCTGAGCCAGGTCATCCCTGTAAAGGTCTGGCACCTTCCTCACTCCCTCTTCTGCCGGTTTGCTCTCCTGAGTCCGAGTAATACAGGCCACCACTGACTTCACCTCTTGGCCCTGGTTCCTGTTAGTTTTATCCAGGCCCCCACATCATTGGAAAAATCAGGTTCAAGGCAGGGGAGCAGACAAACAGAATGTCAAGCAAGGAATTTCAGAGGCTAAGGACAGAAGGAAATGATGAAGGCACCTTTCCCTTTCTCAAAAAATTCAGAATCACTGGGAGCCTTGATTCTTTGCGCCTATGCTACCCTTTTGACACTGTAATGAGATGGAGTTTTTTCCACCAGATGACAATCTCTAGTTTGGTTTAGGAAGAGAAGCCAGGGCTCGCTGAAAGACTGCTAAGAATGGTAATGAGATTTCGGTTTGACAGTAATGATGCCCAATTCCCACACTATTCAAGTTACTATAATGAATTCAAGTTCTCTGATTGAATCCCTGAGCCCTCTTGGAATGTCTTTTACCGCACCAGTAAAATGTTAGTAATGAGCTCGGCATGATCCAAATTCTAGGATTAGTTGGGAGATAGCTGGAACACTGTTCACATATTAAATATCTCAACCATAAACTCACAAGTGCCAGGAAGTACATCTAAGTCAATTCCAAACAGAAAGTTTCGACCTTCGAAATCAGTCTCTGCTTCCGGACAGCACTGGTTAGGTCTGACTAATAATGTAAACTTGAAGATTACACAGAGTGTATCCTCTTCACCTGGACCTAGAGAGTCAATACTCTTTTGTTTCTTACATTAAAAACTAGTCACCTTCACTGATGTTAAAACTGGTATTTTCACCTGTTCTCCCAAGAAGTGGAAGTTGGGTGGCTTAATGCTGACAATTCTGTCATTTAAATCAGTGCATAAACATTCAATGGCATTAAAAGTCAATTTCTAACGAAATGTGCTTCCCAAGATAGAAAATCTCAAACATCCACATAGAGAGGGCTATTTTTTTTTAAAGATTTTATTTATTTATTTATTTATTTATCAGAGAGAGAGAGAGAGCGCGCGATAGTGCACAAGCAGGCAGAGTGGCAGGCAGAGGAGGAGAGAGAAGCAGGCTCCCTGCCAGGCAAGGAGCCCGATGCAGGACTCGATCCCAGGACCCTGGGATCATGACCTGAGCCGAAGGCAGCGGCTTAACCAACTGAGCCAACCAGGCGTCCCGGGCTATTTGTTTTTAAAAAATATATCATCCAAGCTAGAAAACCAAGAGGTATTCTTTCATTACCTAGATGATGTGGTGTCTTCGCAGACCCTCTACAAGTTAGGAGGGCTACAGAATTTTCTGTTTACTTTCAGTTTGGGAAAGGGGATAAAGGAAGGGCAGAGGCAGGAGCCACTCGGGGCCTTCTCTTCTTTCAACTGTTCTTTGATGCTCCCTAGAGAGGTCATGGGCCATCTGAGACTCAGAACCATGTCCCCAAACACAGAGTCAGGTGACAACAGACAAACGAGGCTGGAAATACTGGGAATTAAAATTGCATGCAGGATGGGGCGCCTGGATGGCTCAGTGGGTTAAAGCCTCTGCCTTCGGCTCTGGTCACGATCCCAGGGTCCTGGGATTAAGCCCTGCATCGGGCTCTCTGCTTGGCGGGGAGACTGCTTCCCTACCTCTCTCTCTGCCTGCCTCTCTGCCTACTTGTGATCTCTGTCTGTCAAATAAATAAATAAATCTTTTTTAAAAATTGCACGCAGGAGAAAGGGAAAAAGGGAGATGCAAAAGCAACTCCTTTTCCTAACTCAAGTTGCTGATTCCCATCCTTGTGCCTTGATGCTAGTGAATTGTCCAGAAGACTGTTTAATGCACAACAACAGACTCCCTCCTACAAGGCCCTCCTAGAATGGTTTGTTACAAGGCATGATAGAGTGAGAGACTCCCGAAGCTAGAGTGTGTCCTATAAAAAAATCACGCTAGGCTTCTATGCTCTAACCCCTATTCTATATCCATGCATTTTGTACCTGGTGCTTTGCAGAACAACAGCAACAATTGTGCAAAACACAGTTAAGACATTTATATTCTTTGTTCAATAGAATTTACAAACCCCGTTACATGAGGGGCAAAGAGATGGCAATTGGACGATGCAAATCTCTGATTTTGGTATAAGGAGAAAATACAAGAATGATCAACTCTGTGTGGTGAAATTTAGCAAGCTGCCACCTTCAATGCCATCATATCCCTCCTAGGATAAGAATCACTGGCCAAAACCCATTTCGCTACAGTTTTCCTTTCTCAAATTAAGAGGATGGGAAAAAGATTAGGAGAGGGAAACTCATCCAAAAAAAATTTCTATAACAGAACAAACAGAAGTGTATTATATTTTTGAGAAGTTTTTTGTTTTTGGCTCCAAGCCCAGCATGGAGCCAATGCAGGGCTCAAACTCATGACCTTGAGATCAAGACCTGAGATCAGAAGTCAGATGCTCAATTGACTGAACCAGGCATGAACCCTGGTTGTGTGTGTGTGTGTGTGTGTGTGTGTGTGTGTGTGTGTTTTAATGAGACCTATCCATCATTAAATTCTAAGTGATTTTGTTGGTATATAGAAAGAGAGCAAGCCTAATTTTTTTCTTCTCCCAAAATCTAAAAGGAATTAATAAGAGAGAACAGGCTACAGCTACGAGTGACTGTATTTTCCGTTTCCTGCAAGTGGACTGGACCAGCCTTGGATGGTGGCCACCCCTGATAGGCACTGGTAGACGTCTGCCTGTACCAATAATGCCAACCATTGGTGGTGATGTATCTACTGGAACTCAAAGTTTACTTGATGAATTCAGCCCCATTTTGCACGAGACCATTCTACTGTCTGCCACTGCATTGAGGGAGACTGGCTATCTGGGGTGCCATTTCAAAATAAACCACCACTACTGATTATTTATAACAGGGAAAGGAAAGAAAGGAATGGGGGCCTATGACACAAGTCCCCTTCACTTAATTACACTCCCCCTCTCACCCACACGAACACACACACAGTGCACACCTTTTATATTCTAGACTTTTTTCTGAAATTCCCTTTGAGAGCTGTTTGCTGCTCTCTGATTTCTCCACCTCTTTTTTTCGGTAAGGCCCATAGAGGAGTTGGTTCAATGGCACCGCTGGCTTGGTCTGCTTCATCCTCACTCTCCTTGCAGCAAAGTCATCTTTCTCAAGATCGGGCCGCCGAGGCGCAACTTCCTCTTCTGACTCTGAATCTTTGCCACATTGGTGGGTCAGGAAAGGGTTTTCTTTGCGAAGGATAATGTCATGAACAGCTTCTTTCTCATTATTTAATGGCTTGTGACTGATGGAGCAAAATTAAATAGAACTCTCCATGTGATCAGACCAAATGCTTTTTTAAATCCCCATCTCCAGACACACAACTGTGTTGTTAGTGGAAGGTCTTCTCAACATCGTTAGTCTAGATGACATCTGTTTGCTCTTTTAGTCCAGAGTTGTAGCGTAGTTAGGGTGGGTTTTAAAACCTTGGTTTTAGCCAGCGACTAGCAATGCTAAAAAGTCATTTAATGGACAGGACCCCATCAGCACCAGCAATGCAGGATCCTAAATGGCTCTGAGAGGGACAATCCGAACTCTTGTCGTGACATTGGGAAGAGTAGAAAGCTTTTGGTTGTTCTTTTTCCTTTAGCATATTAGCAATGCACCCAACAGGTCCCCAGTTTGTTTCTGAGTGGTAGGGCAACAATTTGAGCCACCAAGAAACTGATCTGGGGGAAAGCTAATGCGTGCAGCTGTATGACAGCAAACCTAGACTATGTACCCAGTTGCGAAGTGCGAGGAAGGTCTTTCTGCAGAGCTGAGCTCACCTGAAGCATTTGGAAGGGTTTATGACCAGAAACAGGATGGACCCGGGGCATAAATGCTTCTCTTGCCCTGCACCCTCCCATGAGCAGCTCTGTCTTCTAGTAAATTCTTCTACCCCAATGACTGTCCACCTCTCAGCTCTTCTTCATCATATGCTAGATGTCAAGTCAATTGTGGTAAAACATTTTGCCAAAATGGCTAAAAAATTACTACTTTGTGCTATTCCCATTTTCAAAGAGATGTTGAAGACCTCAAACTTTTAAATTCCTGAATGCGGTTTAATGGTGGACTATAGGACTTTCCACTCAGTTTTGTTTTTTTGTTTTCGTTGGAGGCATGTGGGATAGGAATAGGGTCGAACTGTGTGCATCTGGAATTCCCACAAAGTCTTCTTCCCCTGCTCATAGGCTCAGCCTTGCTTCTAGGTCATTATTATTCTGAGTAATAATAAAACGTTAAAACGTAAAAAAAAATCATTTATTATCTTCTCATTTCAAAAAGATAAGTAAATAAATATCTTGACTCCTAATGCTTACCTACTTTGTATCCAATCTCTAAGAGGGAGTCAAGAGTAAATTCTTCATCCTCAAAGGACAACTCATCTCAGAAATGAGAAGGAGGAATTAGCTAGGAGTAAAATGAACACTGAGACTATGAACCCTGATCAGGGAGGCTGCCTGTTCTCTGCTGCTCTGTACTGCTCCTGAGGGCACTATGTCTTAAGACGATAGCAGGACCTTACTCTATCTGATTTTTTTGAAAATCAAATCATCTCTAATCGTGAGCAGCAAATTCCTTCTTTTCACTGCTGCCACTGTCCTCACTAAAAATTTAAAACACAGAATTTGGAAGCGGTTGGCAGTGCTTTGTTCCCCGAATAAATTTATTTCTTAAAATACAAAATCTTGCCCTGACTCCCAGTATCCTGCCTGTCCCCTCCTGGACAGTGGTCATGCTCCTTCCTTGCTCCTTAGCCAATGCATCTGGCAAGTACCAACTGGTGTTGGTTGTCTAGGGCCATAAAGAATGGCCAATGGAAGTCACAGGCCATTGAATTCATGTCTTCAGAAAGGCATTATTTAAAAAGCACAATGTTGATGATAAAGAAACTTACTGAGGCTTCACTATTGGCTAGACTTCTTTCTAAGTGTTAGTTCATTTAAACCTAACACTAACGCTGCAATGTGAGTTTTATTAGCATCATTATTTTAAGAGAGTAGAAACTAGGTTCTAGGTTCAGAAATTTGCCCAAGATCAAAATGCCAGTGCTTAAGTTAAAATTCAAACCCAGGTTGTCTGGCTCCAGAGGTTCTGTTTGTAACCACTATACTGGGTGTTAAACAAAAGACCTGGCCAGGAATGGTATTGAAAGCAGAACATGATATAAAAAATAAGGCATTATCATGACTATGGGAGTAGGAGAAAGAGAAGTATTTTGCTTACTAAATAAAGAGATCTGTGAGTTGTGCTTAGATTGGATTGTGATTTGCATTGCTGGTCACAGGCAGCCACTTTTTGCTAGGATTAATGATAGCAGAATGCTAACTCATCACACCTCACAATGCTCGCACAGCACTTTACAGTTTACAAAGTGCTTTCAAACTCATTATCTCATCTCAGCTGATCTGACTCCAAGTTCAGGGGGGAGTGGACCCCTAGCTTGAACCTCTTACATTCAAAAGCAGCACTCTTTTCATTTTTTTGGCCAGGGGTCATGGATTACCATCTCCCCCCGCCCCAACTCAGGCAGACTTCTTTAGAATAAAACATATGCATTTATGCAAATGGCCATGCCAATTTGTGATGCCAATTTGAGCAGGGAGAATCTGGTGTTCTCTGGATCACAGGAGCCCAAGCCCTGCTACAAATTCCCTGGGGTGCTTCTTTTTAGGCTAAATGCCCAGCATAGCAGCACTTGTTTCAAGTGATCTCTATTTAGATGTGTGGACTTAAAAAAAAAAAAAAAGGGTGGTAAAGAAAGCTTTCTGTATCACTGGCCACGGAAAGCCACTCCCTGCCCACCTGAAAAGAAAAGCGGCCACAATGACTGATTTTCCGCTACTTGCTTGAATCCTGTGATTTCAGAGTTTCCAGGCAGACTTGGGGGTTGGGGGGAGATAATAACACAAAATCTGAACTCATATTTTTGGCCTCGCAGTAATGCATACTGTGTATAAAGAAGATATGTAGGGTTGTGTTCACAGGTGTCTAGTTACTGAAATTCTTCAGTGGCCTTTTATAAATGTGTTTTTCTTTTTCCCTGAGGAACCTGAAGGGCAGTCTGTTGTAAAGCTTCGGTATGTCCTACTCGGGTTTTCAACAATTATGACTCTTTGAGCACCTGGTATATTTCGGATACACTAACCACCGCAACGACACTGTGAGATAGGAATTCTCATGTCTGCTGAGTAAAGAACACTGAGGCTTCTAGTTCCAGTCATCTGAATGTAGGTAAATGAAGTGAATTTCAGGGGCAGACTCAGGTTCCCTGGCTTGATATTCATGGGGGAGGTTTGATGCTTTGATTTTTTTTCAAGGCATTCACAGGTGAGTCACTTTGGGAAGGAGGGGCTGCTCGGCTGGGCACGGCTCGCCGCTCAGAAGGAATACAGTTCAGTGCGAGACGAGAAATGCCCAGCCTTGCCTCCAGCCTCGTAACCGTGTCCGGCTTCATCTCAAACAAGTGAAGCTATCTTGGTAGGACAGGTTATGGGCTCGAAGCAGATGAGGGGGGGAAGAAAAAGCTCTTGGCACAAACTTATAGGTTTCAAAGTGAATGAGATGGTGATTGAACTGAAGGAAGAACCAGCATTTTCCTTCACCCCTTTTCCCTTGGTACCACACAAGCAGCCAGCCCAGACTGGCAGCAAGGCTGTTCTACTGAAAGAAACTGGGCTCTCCTGGGAATGTCAGGGGCAATACCAGAAACTTCCCGGCTCACCCTGTGCCCACAGAGTGCGGCCACAACTAGAGTCACAAAGGCCCCTGCAAGCAATGTGTGTGTCTGCTCCCGATCCCCAAGGATCTGTTCAGCAACAACCAGGGAAACAAGCATCTGCTGAGTAGGGGTGTAGAGGACGTGTTTAGCACTTAACTATATCAACTCTTTCCTCTAAAGATTTCGAAAATGTCTATTGTTCCTGGGAGGGGTTTTTTTTTTTCCCCCTCTGTAATTAATTACTATGTGGTTGAGAAGATCCACAGACCAGCAGAAAAGACTGAGTGCTGAGACATATGAAAACAATTAGAAAAGAAGTACAATCACTTGAAGCCTATAATTCAGTTAAAAAAAAAAAAGTTTACTTCTCCAATGGGAAACACCAAGTAAGAGAACTCAAATCTCCATGGCATTTTAATTCAGGGGAAGTGAATCTTGGTTCCCATTTTATCCTCTTAAAAACAGAAATCTTAGCTTTTTTGGCAGAGTCTCATATTTTGGGGTAATTAAGCTAACTTAATCATCAACTAAAATAGAAGCAAAAGGAGTTTATATGCTCCTTACTTCAGTGGTGACTCTAATGCATATTAAACTCCACACATTTATTAAGAAGCCCTACTTTCTGTCCCTTGATGCTAAGATACCTCCTAATATATGGTTTGACAGGAAGCTTGGGACTTCTGGGCTTCGAAAGTTACACAAAAATAGAATGCCATGCACTCTTGCTCCTTTTTATATACAAGGAGGTGTTTGAGAGTACTTGGGACAAAAACAACAAGAAAACAGTCTATAGAAATAAAGCCTTGTTCTCTGTCTGTGTACCTCCTCCTTGCCTACGACTTGATATTATTACCCATCTCTTCAAACACAGATTTTTCCAGCTAAGAAATGGGCCACGAAATATATGCTGGGCCTCTTACTGGGTTCAAAGATGTGGTAGTCAGAATCCATCTGGATGGCAAAGACAGAAGATGGCGGTTAAATGTTTCAAGAGACAACAGCATATTTACATATTTTATATTCTTAGTTTCCAGATACCAAGAAGCCTTTTCATCTTTATGTGTTTCATTCCAGTTAAGCTACTTTCTGCTACATGAAAAGCAGGATAAACTTAGCATGACTCTCCACTCTGAGGAAGACTGCAGAAAGTAAGTGACAGGGACACAGACAGGCAAGGCTAGTGACACAGGATGTAAAAACCCTGTAAGAGAGAGCTAGCAGCTGAACAAACTGCCAACAAAAGAATTCTGGGTGTTTGGAGCAGCTGTGTCACATTGCTGTTGGGGACCTTGTTTGGGAATATGCACAATTTTCCTGAACTCAGTTTTTAAGCCAGAAGATCTCAGGTGTGATGATATTAAGAGACCTGGGAATTTCTGCTTAATGTAGCTGACTTGGATGAAATATGTAAACAATGGAGCCAGATAACAGGCAACATGGACAGGAGTAAAGAGTACCACATAAATATAATATTCATCCATCAGAATGACATTTGTAAACTAACCATGATTCTAGGTTTGTGCACAGAATGGGAACTATCACAAAAGATTTCAACATTTCATTACAAAATAAATCTTGCAGTTACTGCCACAGCACACCCACGGAATTTCCAGTCTTGTCCAATCTCTTCTTTTCTCTCCGTCACCATGACTCCTGCATGTGCTGACTTAGCTTAATGAGGTTCCCCACTCATCTCCTGTTGCTATTTTGGATACTCTAAAGATGATATAGAGATCCCTTGAAAAATTAAAAATAGATCTATCATATGATCTGGCAATCCCACTTCTGGCTATTTATTCAAAACTTTAGAAGTCAGGACCCATAAGAGATAGTAGCACTCCCACGTTCATTGCCATACTATGCACAATAGCCAAGATGTAAAAACAATCTCAATGTCCATCGATAGATGAATGGAAGGAAATGTGACATTTACATATAATGGAATATCGTTCGGTTTTTTAAAAGAAGAAAACTCTGCACTATGTGATAATATAGATGAACCTTGAGGACATTGTGCTATGTGAAATAAGCTAGTCACAGAAGGAAAAAGGCTGCACGATTCCTCTTACACGTCATATCTAAGAGTCAAATGCATAGCGTCAAAGAGTAGAATGGTGGTTGCCAGGGGCTGAGGCAGGAGGAAACGGGGAGTTCTGATCAGCGGGCATAAAGTTTCAGTTAGGCAGGATGAATAAATTCTAGAGATCTACTGTACAACATCGTATCGAGAGTTAACAAAACTCTAGAACAATTCAAGATTTGTTCAGAGGGGAGATCTCACGCTAAGTGTCCTTATCACAATAAAACGAAAATTTTTAAAATGGGAAAAGGTAGTATAGGATATGGAAGAAGAAACCCAAACAACCAATACACATATTATAATATTCAAACAGATTGGTAATTATAGAAAAATCAATTTTTAAAAATGAGATTCATTTTAACCAAGTGGAGTAGTAATTTTTGAAAATGATAAACAGAAAAAGAAAATAAGGATCATGGTGTCTTTGGTAAATTTTAGCTTAAAGACTTCTCAGACATGACACAAATGAAGGTATATGTCAAAGATATTAAGATTAAAAATTTTTTTTAAAAAATTCATACTTTTACCTATATTACCTACTCCCACTGGGCCCTAGATTTGAAGACAGAAGGGAAAGTTTGAAAAATGATATATGGTAAGGGGATACTATTCATTTTTGTATTCTTAGCATCACCTTTTCTCTGATACAAGTAATGCTAAAATGATGTTGAAAAAATATGTGTCTGATAAGGTCTTTGTACCAAAATTTTATAGAATATCTGGATTTGATTTTGTTTTTTATGATCTACATTTCTCTCCATTATCACAGAAAACCAGAGATCTGCTTGGAACACAAGCACAACTTTATAGTAGGGTTTTCTAGAAGCACATATATGTTTAGGATAGATACCCTTATCTGTGAGATAGCACAGACATGGAAGAAGTATTCCCTTGGTTGTTTTTTGTTTTCAATCAACACAAAGCTACTCTGGGATTAAATCCATGTAAGTCAAGGCTGAACTACCAGTTTAAGAACTAGACCATATAGCACTAACCACATTTGGAATTGTACAGAGAAATGGGAAATGTTCTGTTAAATGTGTGGGAGGCAGATGTGGTACTGTGGTCAGAACATTTGGATCTGGCCACCAAGTGGGCGGTAACTAGGCTCTCAGACCAGCAAGTCACTTACTCTCACTGATCCTCGGTTTACTCTTCTTGAAAATGGGTATGTCACCCACCTTTACCAATTAAATGGAACAGCAGATGGCAAAGGAATTTCAATTGCCCAAACTGTTAGAAATTTTGATTTGTCAAATAAATTTTGGTCTCATTATGATTTGTTAGGATCTTTGTGGTTATTATGTGAGAAAAATTAACCAGCTTCTCAAAATACTCCCTGAACTTGTAGAACTGTAGATTTCTGTGACCTGGACTGCTGAAGATTTCCATCACACGTGTAATATGAAATCATCCAGATGGATGCTGGTGTCTTTGTTACAATTAAGAGGAGGAATTACTCCATTCTTTGTTTTTTGAGTCAATGTGCCTTAGGAAAGGAGTCAAGTAAGTGCAATCTTACCACTCCCTTGGGACAAAGTAAGTGGGTTTTTGTAAGCCAACCACTCTTCTTTCTTTTTTTTTTTTTTTCATTTTATTTTATTTTTTTTCAGTGTTCTAGAATTCATTGTTTATGCACTCCACCCAGTGCTTCATGCCCAACCACTCTTTCTAAAGAGAGTGCTCCCCATTTCAAAGGAACTATTTTCCAATGATGTGTCAAGTAAGGTAAGAGCCATTTAGGAGTAGCGTGAAAATTAACAAGCCGCAAACAATTGAAAAATAAAATGTTATTGCTAGGTAAATCCCACAGCCCACAAATGACTAACTACTAATCCTAATGGTCTAATCAAGCAGCAAGAAGCTCACTCTTTGCCTCCATTTAGAATAACCAAGTTCTTGGCGGAGACATGCCCCGGGGGGAAAAAACTCACAGCTACTTCTATTTGCTTGAGGAGGGGGTAAGAGAGCTGCAGAGGGGAAAGCAGGAAGTGGGAAACAGGATGTTAACTCCAACAAGCCAGACGGATTCCAAACCCCAGGCATGCACAAAGGCAGCCAGGCCAGCCTTTGGCCTACAGAGCTAACCTGGCAAAGCGCTGTGCCGCGGGCATGACCTTGATTCCAGCTTGTTCTAGCCTTCTGCGCTTTTGGATTTCAACAGCATCTTTTCCTTCAGACTTGGGAGCTGGGGTGCCCACAGCCCCCTCTGGAGAAGGCTGCTCCTGACCACTGCCTGTGGGTAATTCTAACCCACCATCGGAAGGCTTCCCACCAGGATCCACTGGGCCGACTGGGTCCTCTTCACAAGGAGACCCCACTTCACTTCCCTCTTCCTCTATTGTTTCAGGATAGCTAGTGAGTTGGACAAGATAGTTTACCAAACTAAAAGCCTGGGCCGGGGAGCAAGCCATATGTCATCTCCTGGTCATTCTGATATTACTTTTCACTTAAAAAATAAGTCATAGCATGCAGTACAATCCTGGTAATGTGAAGAAAGTCAAATGCTGCTATTAATTTGTTAATAAATACAATGCATTATAATCTCAACAGTAGGAGCTCTTTCAAAGCTGATATTGGACGACAAAAGCCTTTTCTGCTGGAAAGATAAAAGTCATGATTTATTGAATCATCAAAGCTTTTAATAAAGTGTCTATTCGACGAAATTCATAGATAATACAGGTAGGTGATTAGAAATAAGCATGCAGTGATTGGAGTGGTTTTGCTCAAAGGGTTAGACTACATGGTAAGTTTCTTTTACTGGACTCTAAGGTTCTTGAAGGCAGGGACTCTATTTACTACTGGGTCCCCGGTGCCTAAAAGATAGCGCCTAGCATGTAGTAGGTGTTGAATAAAAACCTGCTGACTGAATGAATGCATAAATATAAAGACATAATCAGAGTTTAGGGGAAATCCCTGCTTGCTTCTCCAAAGAGACGAGCAGCTCAATGTATCTTTCATTTACTAGGAGTTTCTCTCCATGTGATTCTGAAGCATGTCTCATGCAGCCCACCCATACTTGAGCTTATATCTAAATAATCATGTATCTAGATTTAAGAAAAAGTTGTCTCGCAGAAAGATACGGCTTTCTGCACCAAATGTAACAGGAGCGGGAGTCAGGCAGTCTCCTCAGAAAGACATGGATGACAGATCTGCTCTCCCTGTCCTCTCACTAGAACCGGTTTCAAAAACGTGCTCGTTCGACAAGGATCTGTTGAGTACCTACTGTGTGGCAGGCACCGTTCTTGATGCCTTCACGAAGCTTAGATTCCATCATCACAGTCTCTCTCCAAAGAACCATCCTGCCTCCTGCCATTTGCAATCTTATATCAAAAGTTCTGGAATGGTTATCTGAGCTCAATGGTGTGCCAAAGAACCATCCTACCTCCCGCCATTTGCAATCTTACATCAAAAGTTCTGGAATGGTTATCCAAGCTCGATGGTGTGAGGGTGCTCTCGTCCCTTTACTGCTAGTGCTCAAGCCAGGGCTGGGGGCAGCCTAGCTCAGGCCTTACCTGAAGGGCCTCTCCCCACCGAGGGGGGAGGTGGCAGTATTCCAGCTCTTCCGATTTTCCTCTCGCTCTGCTTTCTTCTTCCTCAGAGGAGCGGGGACGTAGGCCGTCTGATTGCTTTTGTTCGGGAGGTACTGGTTAAAAGGCACTGCTGATTTCGGCTCACCATGGGAAGTCCGCCTCGCAGACATGTCATCCTTCTTCACATCCGGCAGCTTCCGGTGGGGCAAGTCGGGTTCAGAGTCACTTCCTCTCCCTGGGGAAGAGAGGATGGGTACTGAGAACGTGTGCGGGGCTCATAGAAAAGTTCCTGATGGCCAGTCAGGATGTATTAGGGATGTGGTAGATCTGTGGGTTCTGAGATCCCTTCTTAAATGATTCACTTAACAAATCTTAAATTAATCTATTCTGGGAAAAGCTCTGAGCTCAAATCAGGGGGAAAAATCCAGTTGAAAACACAGAGGTAAGCCTAACTGTATCTGAGAATTATGACTCATAACACATTTGCAGCAGGACGAGAGGCTGCTAAGATTCTTCGAATCTTAAAAGAAAAGACATAAATCAACCGATGGAGTTTTTACTGAGCACCTGTCGTGGCGTGTCTTACGCTGTGCTAGATATTCACAAATAAGAATTATAAAGGATTCTGTTTTATAAAGGAAATGTCATAAGATGACATTTTATCTTGAAGGTACCTTTTTTAAAAAGATTTTATTTATTTATTAGACAGAGATGACAAGTAGGCAGCAGGTGTTGGTGGGGGCGGGGAGCAGGCTCCCTGCTGATCAGAGAGCCCAATGTGGGACTTAACCCCAGACCCTGAGATCTTGACCTGAGTGGAAGGCAGAGGCTTAACCCACTGAGCCACCCAGGCGCCCCTTGGAGGTACCTTTAGCCAGTCTATGAAACACCTGAAGAATGGCAGTTATCTTCAAGGAGCCAAGACAAATAAGAAGAATAGGAATTCAGAAAAGTGGCACATTGAAATCAGACCAAGGGTTTGCCTTTCAGGACGTGGTTTGATTTTAATAAATGAATATTCCTTTACATCAGTGCTCTTCCTGGTACCCATAGCTGGAAGCCATCTTTTCTTCCCGTGAACCCCAAGGCCCAGTTTATTCTTTTCTTGGGGCATGCTACCCTTTCGATCTTGTATCTTTATAGCATTGATCACAGCGTCTTCGCAACCAGTGGACGTCCTCAAATCATCCAATGAATAAATGAATTGGTTTGGCTTCAAGAGCGTTTCAGGCAACGCAAAAGAATTCAATGTTTCCCAACCAGTTTGGGGGGCAAGAGCCCCAATAATTATATTGTATCCCTGTTTCCTGTGTCTCATCTCACTTGACTGGTAAGACCTATGAGAGTGAAGCCGTCATTAAAACAAGCACTACCATTACAGAAGCCGCCACGGGAGAGCTGGTTGGAAACTCTTAATTAAGGAGAACGATCTGTCCCTAGCAAGCTGTGGGCTCTGAGGCCGGTTTTATCACTTTTGCCTGTCCTCTTCTGTAAAAATTGGAATGAAATGATCTGCCCTGGAGATCAAATGATTTAACGGCTTTTAAAAGACTTTACAAGTTCAAAGCATTGACCATAAACAAGTTGCTCATTGTTGTGGAGGAAATATGCAGTTATGAATTATTCATGGAACTTGCATTTAGCCTCCCTTCTGAAGTTTTGACCATTTCAGTACTTGCTGGTGTTTGATTCCTGGTTTAGTACCTTCCCACCCTGAGTCTTGCATCGAGGGTATCCATCTGTCTCACTGTCCCAGTGAAATGTGTAGAGGCCCCCCGTGAGGTGCTTTATAAACAAACGCTAATACTACCTTCCCTTGCCAGACTCTCAGGTTTGTTTCCTGGTTTGATATTATCCCCATTTTAGAGAGGTGGAAACCAAAACTCAGAGAGGCAGAATGGCTGGTATGCAGTAGGTCAGGACTTCCGATTTCCATTCTCCAGACCCCGGCCCAAAGCTCCTTCCTCTGTGAGGCACTTCTCTTGGAGAAATGTCCAAGAGACATTTCTTAAAGCATCCTGACTAGGGGAAGCGCTACACTTTCTCAAATAAACCAACGAAAGAAAAGAATTTTTCCACTAACTGTGAGGGCTTAGTAAAGATTCAAGAGTTGTCTCCATTTTCTAATGCCTAAAATCCTAACATCTTTGAACCTTCTCTGTGTACAGTATCTAAAGATATATTATCTGTAATTATCTTAGTGAAAGTCTCAAAATAGGCTGTTTAACACATACACAGATCATCCTCTTCCTTCCCACAGTGATTCTTTGATAAATACCTTCAAGAGACAGTTCAAGAAAAGTTACTTTGCAGATGCCCGAGGTGGAGTGACTCAGTTGAAAGAAGAAAGTTTTCTGGACTTAGAGGCCAGGGTCTAATTTCGGCTCTGTCCTACTAGCTGGGTAGCTCTGCAAAATTTAAGCCCTCTGTACCTCTTCACTGGACACGTGGAGACAATACCACAGGTCGTTGTGAGGATCCAAGGGGATGGCGCAAAGCACTTAGAAGCGGCTGGTGTGCCACACCCTTGGTAAACACTAGGAATCTTCTCGAAGGCCAGAACTTCAAAGACTTGGACCTCTTCCCGAAAACACAGATATATACTACAGTGGCTTCACTATTGATGCCCAAAGTAAGGAAATGACAATACAGCACATGATGATGATGACATTACTTTATCAAAGTCTGAGCCTACCGTTTTGGGGACTACATTTCTCTCCCTTCCAGGAACTAGGAGGAAGCTTTCTTTTATTCCCCATATTTTGGCCATCTACACCCCTAGCCCTTGGCTTTCTCATCTTCCTCTAACACTTCAATTTCTCTCATTCCTTCTTTCTCTCCTTCAACTCATCTTTTCTATAAAAGAATATTCATTTAACAAAATATATCATATTTCTAAACTGTGTTCTGAATTTTAAAAGCATCTGAGTCAAAGGGTTTGTATTTCCTCTTCAGGGAAGTCCATTAAGTGGCTTCAGGAGGACGCTAGGAGAGGTGAGGAGAGAACCGGCACCTGTGTAGCAAGACGGATTGGCAGAACCACACAGCATCCTGCCCAGGTTGCTCTCGGGTGCAACCCATAGAATCGTGGCACCTCTTATGAGTGTGGCTCTTAACTGTCCCCACTGAATGGGTCAGTGGGCCTCGACAATATTAAAATATTGGCCCAATATGTAACTGGAGAATTTTATGCTAAGATTTTCCTTAGTTGATTGTGAGTCCTTAGGAAATAAATTTTTAAGACTTAAAAAAAAAAAAAGTTCTTCTAAATTTGAAAGTAGCAACCTTATGGATTAACATCATTAAAAATATACCATGAATTCTAATAAAATACAACATCTATTTGAATAAAATTATACTACTATTAAGGCAGATTTTTAAAAGTGTGTGTGTGTGTGTGTGTGTGTGTGTGTGTTAAATCTCATTAGGTCTTGATTCGTTTTCAAGTTCATAAGCCTGTAGGTATTAGGCTGCTTGGTAAAATGGACAGTGTTCTGTGAGGCTTGATTTCCTATTATTCTTTACATGGAAAAATATTTATAAAAAGACTCTAGCTTATCAACCTTAATTGGCGCAAACGAAACTGTGCCTCAGCACATATTAGTACAATATTAGTAATTACCATCTCAAATCCCTTCAAGATGTCACTCATTATAAACTCTAAATCCTCGAGGCTGTGACAGAATATAGGATCTATGTTACCACTTACAAAACCAAGAGGAAGAAAATAATATTTTTTTTAAAAAAGCAATCAAAATAATATGAAATGGTCAGGTTCAGATATGGTTTGTGAAAGGAAATCTACCTTTCGGTTATGTTAGAGCTCAGTTAGGTCATGTACTTGGTATTTTAACTTCTAATACTGTGGGTGGTACTTAAGATGGCATAGAAAATCTTAGAAATGTCTTTCAAGCAGCTCACAATGCACCATGGAATTCTTTTGGAGTCACATACTATGTGGCCCTGGGGCTAATCTATTTGTTGGAAAGCTGAAGTACTGAACAAAAAGCATTAGTTAGGTCACTCCAGAATCTAAAAAATTTATTCGGTAAACAGAAGTTGTGGGCAAATTAGGTTTAAGAGTTTAAGTTTTGGACTCACACTTCTTGAGGCTAACATTGTTATACTACTTAATGACAGCAATATTTGTCACTCAGGAACTTGAGGACAATTACTTAACCTCTGTACGGTTCATCTGTAAAATACAGATTAAAGTATGTCTCACAGCCCGGGGCGGGGGTGGGGGGGTCTATGTACCTCGTTGGTACTCTGGGCTAAGGGCTAAGTGAGATGCTAGGTGTCAAGTAATTAATTCAGGATCTAGGCACATTAAATACTCAAGTATTTTAGATAGAGTTTTACAGCTGAAAGGGATCTTTCAGCCATATAAGGGAATTTTCATCTCAGAGATAAGCTGTAAGTCTCTAGAAGTATTAGCATCAATTAAGCAATGCATTAAAAAAATAGAAACAAATAAAAAATACCCCACCAGCCTTAGTGCCTTCCTGCAAGTTTATATATGCAGAACCAAGCCATTTTCCCTTCCTAAAAGTACAAAGCTACAAGCTAAGTGACATAAACAGCTGGAAAATACTTATTAAATTTACATCAGGTTGCATGACCACACATTTTTAAAGAAAAAATGATCATTCCTTACAGGTGACAAAATCCACACGATTTAACTCAAACCCAGACTCAGAACAAACAGGCAGTCTGGGTTGTGTACCCTGGGGGGGGCCACCCGCACAGCTCCAGGCAACGGTCAGGTATCAGAAGCAACGCACAGATTGCCAAAACCTCGCCAATTCAAGCTTCCCGGGTTCCAGCACCTTCCTAAGTGTGCCTAGTGCATTTCCAGTTTGCTGGAAATTGCTTCATTTTCACTTCTGCCCTGTGGTACTCACACGCTTCCCTTCCTCATACCCAGAGCATATAAACCTTCGGCACACTTTATGAGCTAACGGCCAGCGGCATCTTGATTCACTGAGACCAAGGGAGAGATGATGTAACGTATTTTCCAAGGAAGAGAGGCTCACTGAGGCAATACTCAAACCGCTGGTGCAGCCAAGCCAAATTCTAAGGACCATGAAAAACAATAATAAAAATACTTCTCTCCTCCCAGTTTAGAGTTACCGGGTCCCAGGAAGGTGGATATGGAGCCCGTCTTCTGTCCACGGGGGTGGATGTTCCAATCTAAGATGGGCAGTGCATGACATCTGCAACCTACCATCGCTGCTTCCCCTGAGGACTACATCTGGTGAAGGGGTCTGCCGGGAACGGGAGCCGAAGGAATCCAGGCTGTCGAAGGAGTCATCTCTGCCGTGGCGAGGGGGAGACAGGGAGTCGCTGCGCTCAGAATCCCAGCAGTCTATGTAGCCACTGTCTCGGATACTACGTTTAGGACTCTCAATGTCGTCGGTCTCCTGTCCAGAAATAAAACGAGAAGGATTACAGACACTTGAGCAACAGATGGAGAGCCTACGATACAAGGAAAATTGGGCTCCCGGGTGGACTTCAAAAGATCCCGCGTGTGGTGTCGGTATGGAAAAAATTATGGCACAGATTATCATCTATAAGCCAGCATTTCATCCTTCCGCCCTTCCTGCTGCCACTTTCCCGAACAGAAGATCATGCATATTTCAAAAGATAATAAACAAATAAAAATAAAAATCCAAGTAACTCCCAGCCTACTATGTTTAAAAAAAAAAAAAAATAGAAGGAACGAAGAATAAAAGCTCATTAAGTTTGGAGTCACAAGAGTACAGTGACCAACAAAACCCAAACTAAACACCAAAAACCTTAACCTTGACCTGTCTTTCGGAATCCATAGCCGCATGCCTGCTCTGGGGCCCAGCCCCTGGTTTTCGGCCGCACAACTGCTCCTGGTTAGGCTAGCTGGCCAGTGCACACAGCATGTGTTTTTGCCGCGGAATCAGTTCTGTAAAGCCTGGAGCAGCACACGTCCGTCTCCTGCTACCTTGGAGGGAAATTCCTGCTCTGAAAGGGAGCTGTCTTTCCGAGGCAGAAAGGTTAAAAAAAAAAAAAAAGGCAATGAAAAATATGCAAAATGCTTTTCCTGATGCCTCAGAAGAATCCAGGCATGCTCTCGCTCTCGGCCAGCTCTTGGCGCTGGGGGAGCTGGAAGCACTCGCGGCTGACCCACATGTTTGGAGCAGGGAGAACAATGGCTGTCTTTGACAGCCTGTGATTATAAATTCTTTCCAGCGCAAGCAGCACATACTAAAACACTGAAACCCCAGCAGCAGAAAGGTCAGTCAAAGCCATCCTCACCCTCCTATTATAATAAAACCCTTGTTCCCGCCAGTGTCGTCGCATTCATTACAATTGTCCGGGCTGGTGAAAACAAAAATAACTCTGGTCACTCGAAGATAAACCTCAATTTAATCTCCTCCAGACTGTCGCTTAAAAGCCGGGCTGCGGAGGATGCTGGCAGAGGGGCACGCTCTCATCGGCAAAGACTGGAATGTCACCCCCCGGACGTCCTGGGACACTCTGGAAGGTCCCCTCTACATTCCCGGTAGAGAGGAAAAATAAACAGATATTCTCTCCCTGGTAGCAATTTTGGAAACTGCTTGAACTGAATGATATGCCCACTGGAGCCTGTGCTGGTTTTCTCCATTCTCCCCAGTGTCCCTGACACACTCTCCCCGCAGGGGGCATTTGGAGGGGCTGGGGTGGCTGTAATTTGCAAGGAACATGGTGCGGAAGTGGGGGGGGTGCCTGGAGAGAAGGGAGTGGGAGACAGGAGAGCGGGATGGAGAGGAGCACCCTGCAGCCTCCAACAGAGGCCCTGATTAGGGCCCCGGAAGAAGAGGTTGTCAGATGGCCTGGGTGAGTGCAGCCTACTGGACCCTCCATTGCAAGGCAGAAATTCCAGTTATGGAAATTAAGGTTGTTTACTTTTAGGTTAAAAGTCAACCGGGACATGAACAAAAAGCCAGGCCTGAGTAGCTGCAAAAGGAAGAACTCACCAAGAAACTGAAAAGTATACATTTGAATTAGATATGGTTTTGTGTTCAATTTCTTTGGAAATGCAAGTTATAATCATGGGTTATTTATTCACCAAGAATAGGCCAAATGTCTAAAAAACATGAAGGTCACTGTTGTTGAATACTTACTATGTGTCTAGGGCTACACTGGGTATTTAATCCTCACAACCCTACCATGGTGTGGTTACCATCGCCCTCCTTTTTCAGAAGAGGAAAATAAGAATCAGAGAGGTTACACAGGAAGCAGCAAAACTGTGATTCTAAAACAGGATTCCATCTCCAAATCCCAAAGGGTAAAACCTGCCAATGTTTGATCATCTTTGGGGTGGTCACAGTCACCATTGCCAGCATCACCTCTTCCAACTACGGGACACTCACTGCCTCCTTGTTCAGTGAATGATGCTAACCTGTGTCATGCCCCTTTCCTCAATGCTGTTTATGCCTACTTGACCAAGCTATAAATACTGCAAAACAGAGGCAGCTTAGGGCATGTTAGGAGCTTAGGGCAGGTCTTAGAAGCGCTACTGACTGGGTTTTTAAGTCTTGCCTCCTCCTCTCATCATCTATAAGACCTCAGGCAAGTTATTTCAGTCTTCTCGCCTGATTTCAGTTTTCTCATCTGTTCAATGGAGCTAGTAACACCACCTATCTCGCAGGACTGCTGGGAGGGTTAAACATGTTAACATACAGAGAGCATTCAGAAGAATGCCTGACACAGAAGAGCTCAAAAAGTGGTAGCTATGGGGTGGGGGGGCACCTGGGTGGCTCAGTGGGTTAAGCCTCTGCCTTCGGCTCAGGTCTTGATCTCAGGGTCCTGGGATGGAGCCCCGCATCAGGCTCTCTGCTCAGTGGGGAGCCTGCTTCCCTCTCTCTCTCTCTGCCTGCCTCTCTGCCTACTTGCGATCTCTCTCTGTCAAATAAATAAAATCTTTAGAAAAAAAAGTGTTAGCTGTGGACTCTAACTATTTCCATGTATTTGTTTGGGTATGTGAATGTCAACATGTAAATCACACAGATTTTATGAATGTAGTTAAGGACACAAACTATATATGCACTGATCCTCTTCTATCTCCCTCTCCATTTATACCCCATAACTAGACACCTTGGGCCCGGGTTCCCATCAGGGAGGGCAGACCCTCAGAGCAAGGCCACTGGTCAGGTCTAGAAACAACATGATGTTACGAGCTGCTTGGCTCAACGTGATAGACTGGATTTTCAAGAAAATAATAATAATCAGAAATGCTCCTTCAGAGGCCCAAATGTCTTCCCCACCCTTACTACAAACCCACAAGAGAACAGACAGAAAGAAAAAGTCAACATGTCTCTTGGAGCTTCAGCTGCTTTCTCACAGCTTGTTATGGGAAAGAAAAACAGAAAAGCCATTCTGCTCACGACTGTGTAGAAAGCCAAGAGTAAAACCGCGGATCAAGCAAGAGCTGGAAGCCGAAAGGCATGGCTAGTTTGAAAAGCGAAAAACAGGCCACCCGTGGTCCCCCTTGGCCAACCCTGTCCCTTGGAACCTCAGGTTTCTGAGGCAAGAAGCTGGCTCTTCAGCCAGAAGTAAAGACGGGGGCGTCAGCTGGATGGGCAATTTGACCAGATTCTCTTAAGTCACCCAAAGTTAAGATTTTGGGGAAGAACAAAAGCTATACACCAGCACAAAGGCCAGTGTGGTCTAAATTCTCCTTTGGTGGGGTCTAGTTATGTCATCGATGCTTTTTATCCAGGATCCCAGGAGCATTTCACCTTCTACAGGGAGCACTTTAGGGATAGGAGACAAGACCCAAATCTGTCCATTGTGCTAACTGCTCGTTGTAGTAAACGTGTGTTCATGAATGTGGTGAGAACTGGCAACATCTATGGTGTTTTTGGATTGTTTCACTCATCTGTCCCTTTCTTACCCCCTCTTTGTCAGAGATAATGAGAACCAGCTAAGGTTGCTGGGTGACTTACAGCATCTGAGAAACTGTGTTACAGAAACTGTGAAACAGGCTTCTGTGTCACTGCTCAACGTTTTCTGCTTCCTGTGTGATTTATAAAGTGGCTAAATCCTATTCTGGAGTGTTTGAGGGTTCTGTTTTTCCAGTCTGATGACCCATCTGCACCTGCCACACTCTGGTTGGGGAAGGTATTCACTGCTCAGGTATTTACCGAGCACCTTCTATGTGTCAGACCCGGTCCTAATGCTGCGGACACAGCATTCTGCAAAGTCAATAAATACCCTGTCCTCACAGGCCTTGAGTTCTAGCAGGAAAGACAAAAGATAAACAGAAAAACTGATAAATGAATACAAAGTTGGGTGGTAAGTATTATGAAAAACTAAGGCAGGTTAAAGGAAGAGAAGCTGACGTTGGTTGCTGTTTTAGGCAGAGATCTGTCCTTGCCCATCTCAACCCCCCATCTCTACCCCCCTGTTCTAGCTAACACCCCTCACCTCCTGAGACGGTAGTGTATAGGCCGATCATGGTACCCATTACCCCTGGTCGCAGAGACTGGTTTGGGACGAGGACCCACACTGGGCCAGAGTACACCCCTAGGAATTTTACAGCTGGGCCTAGAAGGAAGAATGCCCTTGCTTTCTGGGCAAGGAGCTAGAAGCAGGTAATCCTAGAGATGCTGTTGGCAGCTGATGTGAGGTAGGAAGAGATGAGGAAGAGACAGAAAATGGAAGAACCTAGATTGCTCATTTTCTAGCTCTAGTCCTCGAGATTCTAAGGCCTCCTTAGTCCCCATGATTCTTTCTTCAATCTCAATGTTCTCACAGTTATGTCCCCTTGATTCACTTCAGTGTCCCCTCTGCTGGAAGACCTGCTCTGACATATCTGGACTTATTGAAAAGCCACTGTCACTTTGCTTTCAGAGATCTTTTTTTTTGGCATATAGCAACAACAACCTGCTATGAATACCCATTATTTGCCAGACGCTTATGCTAAGGGCTCTACACGTGTTATAAGCTGAAAATTTTTAAAATATTTCTTAAAGATTTAATTTATTTATTTTTGAGAGAGAGAGAGAAAGGGTATGAGCACGGGGGAGAGGTAGAGGGAGAGGGAGTAGTAGTCTCCCCACTGAGCAAGGAGCCCTATGTAGGACCTGAGACTATGACCTGAGCCAAAGGCAAATGCTTAACTGACTGAGCCACCCAGGCACCCCTACAAGTTGATCATTTTTTTTTACATACATTTCTCTCACTAGAAAAATGAATATAAAATATTTCTGGCTAGTCTCCTTTGTGAATGAAAACATTTTCATTCCAAATTTATTACAGCCTGTATCTGTGCTGAAGGAATTCTAGTTATCTCCACAATATCTGCTCCCCATTTCTTCTCCAGTGAAAACACCCGAGTTTTTAGCTGAAATACAGTCTACCTTTCCCAAGTCTTTCCTTGAAGGTAGGTAGGGATGTGTAACCAAGTTTAGGTCAATAGGATGTGAGCAGAGGAGTAATGTATGACTCAGCACACACGTGTTTAAAGGGAGGGCAGAAGTCCTTCTTCTCCTCATCCCTCCTCTCTCCTGGCTCAAATGTGGATATGACGGGTAAGGCTGGTACAGCCATGGTGGGAGTTGAGAACCCAAGGACAGAGGATGTTGGAGTCAAAGGACAGAAGGACCCTGGGTCCCTGATGATCACCTGTCCACTGTTCGTGTTCAGGCCTCTTTTTTTTTTTTTTTTAAAGATTTTTATTTATTTATTTGACAGACAGAGATCACAAGTAGGCAGAGAGGCAGGCAGAGAGACAGGCCTCTTTTACGTGAGTTCAAAATAAAATTCATCTTATTTAAGCCACATTTAGAGTTTTCTACCTGTCCCAGTGAAACCCAAATTGAATGGATAAAATGAGATAATATCTATTCCAGATAAACTAGTATCTCCAGGCATTGGATCTCTCTATCTGTGAAGTTCAGGTCAAGGACTCTCTACTTTATTCAGAGGCCTGGGAGTACGACAGCTGGCCGTTCAGTGACGCCACGTCGTGTCCGGCGACACCGAGTACTCGCTCCTGTCCTGTGAGATTGTACTATGTTCATTAAAGAAAGGGAACAGCTGTTAGCAATGACTGGTCATTTCAAGGCAGCTGACGTAACAAGGATCAGCTCAGTGTGGTCTCAACAGAAGGGGAGCTGAAGGAACCACAGACGCTCGGAGTACAGAAGAGCTGGGCCAGTGTAGGGAATGTCCCCGACGGGAATGAAACAGGTTCCAAGGGGATCCAGCAAAGAAAGGGACTATGAGGAAGGGCTTTTAAGATGAAGCATGAGAGACTGTGGACTCTGAGAAACAAACTGCAGGTATGGGAAGGGAGGAGGTGGGGGGTTGGGTGAATGGGTACTAAGGAGGGCACGTATTGCATGGAGCAATGTGGTGCAGGAACAATGAATCTTGGGACCCTGAAAAAATTAAAAAATAAATAAGAAATAATAAATGAATAAATAAATAAATAAATAAATAAAATCTTTAAAAAAAAAAAAAGGAGGGGCACCTGGGTGGCTCAGTGGGTTAAGCTTCTTGCCTTCAGCTCAGGTCATGATCCCGGGGTCCTGGGATCGAGCCCCACATCGGGCTCTCTGCTCAGCAGGGAGCCTGCTTCCCCCTCTGTCTCTGCCTGCCTCTATGCCTACTTGTGATCTCTCTCTGTCTCTATCAAATAAATAAATAAAATCTTTAAAAATAAATAAATAAATAAATACTTAAAAAAAAAAAGGAACACATAGGCAGGCACACATGATACATCCCACTGTTTCTTTGACAAACTCCTACCTTACTCTTTCCCATAACCAAATAAACAAATAAAGCTTTAAATACTGTAAAAAAATATTTTCTGAATCTCCAGGTCACCCGAATACAATAGCTGTAAAATGCACATCTCCGGAGAGAATGTCTCTAATTCATCAGAGCCCATCCAGGGTGGATGGCCAGACAAGAACTTGGCAGACATGACCTCACCCACACCAGGGCCCTGAAGGGTAAGCAAAATGACCTTTAGGACAAATGCAGAGCAAGTCTTCATTTTTGTATAATACTGTATTGTCTAATTCGGGCATTATTCCCCCAAGAAAAAAAGTGCAGAGCTCTCTGGCATACAAAGCCACATACTGATGGATTACATTTGCTCTTTTGTAATTAAAGTCGGAGAGAACTCAGACCTTCCATTCTCTGAAGGCTATAAAAGTTCAGGTGGGCCTGGGACACACAAGGCATAGACCACATTGGTAAGACGAGTCTTTTCCTTGAGGGCAGGAAGTCTCTGGTCTGTGCAATTTCACCACACTGGACTGTAAGGACCTTAAAAAGGAGCAAATTGTGGGGCACCTGGGTGGCTCAGTTGGTTAAACGGTTAAGCGTCTGCCTTTGACTCTTGATCCTGGGGTCCTGGGATCGAGTCCCACATGGGGTCTCTGCTCCACGGGAAGTCTGCTTCTCCCTCTGAACTCCCCCCACCTCCCACGCCCTACTCCCTCCACACCTCTCCTCCAGCTCATGCTTACACTCTCTCTTTCTCTCTCTGAGATAAAGAAATAAAATCTTAAAAAAAAAAAAAAAAAGAAGCGAATGTGTTGATTTCTCATCCTATGTTAACGTCTTGGGATAAAGAAGAAAAGTCAAGTTACCTTTCTCATCTGAGCCAGCAAGCCTTCGAACTCCTTCAGGTTCAGCGTCGTGCCGCTATAGGACGCAGAGCTATTTGCTGCTTTTCCCAGCCAATAAATGGTAACTAATACCTGCGAAACAAAACCAGGCACTAGAGCAGGAGAATTTTCCCTCAAGAATAACTTTTAAACTAAGGAATCAACAGTGCATCACTAAGAGGAAAGCAGGAAGGAGAGAATGTGCAACACTGATTTACAAAACCCACCAACCATGAGGTACCCCTTCAATGTAAAATCATTTTAATAAGAACCCAATGCTCTATCAGTCAACACACACATGATTCAGTAGTTAAAATAAAGCTCCACTTTTAGGATAAGTTTGGTTGTAAGAAAATGATCTCTAAGACAGCAAGAAGGGAAAGTAAGTTCTCCAAAATCATTTTTCTGTAATAAAGTTTGCAAAAATTTTCAGAAACTCTGGCTCTTTACCCAGATGAGCACGAAACAGATTGTCAGTTCCTTCAGAAAGAAGTGCTATGAAAGGCTTGCAATTCTTCCTTGTGGGCACAGAAATGCTAAGCCCAACTATCCTGCTAAATCCAACAGCAAAACCTCAAAGCAGAGATCCAGGTTAATTAGTGGTTCCCAGCACAAGAACACCACCATGTATCTAACTGAAATCAGAAGAAACAATGTAATCCAAAGTACGATCTTTAGCCACCTAGCTTTGGGGGAGGGTCAGATTCCCACTCCTTGGAGATGGGAAATTTTTAGTTTGGACAAAATTATTGCCAATTAAATAACCTTGGATGCTTACAAATGTCCATGAACATTCAACAGTCTGAAGCCACAGTCCTTGGGTCATTTTTTTTCTGTCTTTCCAAAAATTTGTGCACAAAATCAAATGCTCTTTACAGTGATTTTCCCATAAAGCCCAGAAGGCTGAAGGTGAGCTCCTTAAAAGCTGAGTTCTTTGGATCTGAAGCTTACGGAAAAGCTATTATTTTATTTTCACATTTGGTCTTATTGCTTCAATCAGGAGGGAAGTGCTTATTGTACTTGCTTTCCGCGTGCTAGACCACGAAAGATATGTGTACATGGTTCCACGTGGCAACACGCCCAAATATGGTTATGGGTATCAATGCTACAATGTGATTCGGTTTTCTACCTCTGTGGGAAAATCGCACTTCAGGAATCCTTCAAGACTTCCAGAAAGTCTTTTTAACATTGCTCGCTTACAGATAAATTTCCAGAGAAGAGACAATTCCAGATGGCAGGACGTTAACTAGGACCGTGAAATAGCTAATGTGTGCTAAGAGTGCGAGGCCATTTTGGAAGGTGTAACAGGAGAAACATAGAACTGTGTTGTGTTTTAGATTATGGGTTTTCTGATTTGTTTAAGACCGCATGATGAAAAATGGCACATATCCCTAGTTGTACAGAGGAAGAAAAGGAAGACAATAATGTATTTGTAAATTTGTAAATGTAACAGCAACCTGAAAATTAAAAAAAGGAGGGGTCGGTTGCAGCCAATTTAAAATTTTATATATAGGAGGTCATTTTTTTATATTCCTCAATTTAAAGTTAAAATAAAAGGACACTACTTGCTCTGTGAATTAAGATCCAACTCCAAAAAGTTGATTTGGGGGAAGTGCTAATAAAAACTCAAAACATTTAATAAGGAAAAAAAAAATAGAAAAAGTGCAGGCCTGTGACAGTCAACACGATTTATATCACGCTGATCTTTTCCCTAAAAAATTGTGCCCAACTGCTTTATTTACTAATCCCACCTGTGCCAACTGACAGAAAGGAACTGATGTTACTGCTGAGACAGATCATCTTGTGGTTAAACAATGGAATTGTAGAGGGCAAGCTTTCATTTCTTTACTTCTAGAACGAGCCCTTATTAGAGAGACCTCCCCTATCTACATTTGGTGTTTCTGTCACGGCGCTCGAATGTTCCATCCGGGACACCTATACTCATTTGCTGAGGACTCTTCCAAGCAAGCCCATACAACAGTCTCTGAAGCTAGGAGCTACATTTTACTCTTGAGCCATCAAAGTGAGGAGGAAAAACTTTTTGAAAAGCAAAGTCAAAACACTTACATTTTTTAGTTTCCTACTGTAATCAAGGCTCCTAAAGAAGGAAGAGGAAAAGAAAATCTGGTCAGAATGGCAGTAGCTTCATGATCATCCCTTACACAACTCTAAGATGTATGCAAAGCCAACAAATGTAATGAAATCTGCAGAATATAGTATTTTCCCTAAGGTCCATGATTAGCGATTTCAGGTACTGAATAAAATCATTTAGGGAACCAACTGTAGAAGGACAGGATGGAATTAACTTCCAAAATGCACTGTGAAAAGATGAATGCTTCGTAACATCTGGAAAATGAAGGATTCCATCGGAAACTGGAACACTTGATATCTGTATTCTTGAAGCTCAACTGTTTAAAGTAAAATTTGTGCCTTGATTAAAGCCCACTGTCAAATCGGAATCTGACTACATTTCCAAAATCTTTGCACAACTAGTACTTTTAAAAAAGGTCTAAAACTTCATAAAATAGACCTGAAAGTACACATGGAAGATGCAGCTCTATACAAATATTTGTTCCTATCTGCCACGGATATAAATCAGTATTGGGAATTAGCCATAAGCAGGAAAATATGTGTGTTATGTTTGAATAGACACATGTGCATTCTTAAAAATACATGAATGTTTACTCTCAAATTATAAACAAACAAAAAAAAAGCTAGTTGGTGGTACTTTTGAAATATTCATACAGTGAAATATAAAAGTTTCCACAAAATTATTCCAAAGTTTCTTTAACATGTCAACAAATACATGCTAGGAAGAACAAAACAAACATTTCTTTACCCTCAGTAACTTCAGTTGGGGTGGGAATGGAGGAAGGGCGAATGTAATTCTAGTGTATAAACTGGTCAGGAATTCTTTCAAGGATTTAGATCCCCTTTACTTCATTGCTACATAATCTTTTTTTTTTTTTTTTAGATTTTATTTATTTATTTATCTGAGAGAGAGAGAGAGAGAGAGCAGGGAGAAGAGGGAGAGAAGATCCGAAGCAGACACCATGCTGAGCTCAGAGCCTGTGACCAGGCTCAACCCCATGACCATGAGATCATGACCTGAGCTGAAACTGAGAGTTGGATGTTTAACTTACTGAGCCAAGGTGCCCCATTTCTGCATATTCTGACCCAAAGAACATATGAATGACTAGGTGAACAATTTTAAGTCAACTGAAATTTCAGGGAATAGAAAACAATGTAGTATATACTAAGGAGATAAACCCATCAATGGACTTGGATTGAAGGAAACATCGGGTTAATTTGGATTTGATTATAAGAGAATGTTTTCAAGTTTATCATTTTTAAATATTTTTTTAAATTTTTTAATAAACATATAATGTATTATTAGCCCCAGGGGTACAGGTCTGTGAATCGCCAAGTTTACACACTTCACAGCACTCACCATAGCACAAACCCTCCCCAATGTCTATAACCCCACCACCCTCTCCCTACACCCCTCCCCCCGTCAACCCTCAGTTTGTTTTGTGAGATTAAGAGTCTCTTATGGTTTGTCTCCCTCCCGATCCCATCTTGTTTCATTTATTCTTCTCCTACCCCTCAAACCCCCAATGGTGGATCTCCACTTCCTCATATCAGGGAGATCATATGATAGTTGTCTCTCTCCGACTGACTTATTTCACTAAGCATAATACCCTCTAGTTCCATCCACGTCATCACAAATAGCAAGATTTCATTTCTTTTGATGGCTGCATAGTATTCCATTGTTTATATATATATCACATCTTCTTTATCCATTCATCTGTTGATGGACATCTAGGTTCTTTCCATAGTTTGGCTATTGTGGACATTGCTGCTATAAACATTTAGGTGCACGTGCCCCTTCGGATCACTACGTTTGTATCTTTAGGGTAAATACACAGTAGTGCCATTGCTGGGTCGTAGGGTAGCTCTATTTTCATCAAGTTTACCATTTTTAATAGAAAAAAATATAGCATTATCTGCTGGATATTTGCCAGGATTTTTTTTAACTTACAAAAATCCCAATGCAAAGAAAAAGAAATCTATGAAAGATTTGAAATTTCAGTGAAAAGTAAGTTAAGAATAAGGAACATAAAATATTTTCTGCATTGATAATAAAACTTCATGGACTAAAATTGTGACCCTGTTCTAAAAAAAAAATCATCCTTGCCACATAGTAGGAGCTCACAAAATATTTGTTGAATGACTTCTACTTCACAACCAATTACATGAAAACGCTTCCAAAGTTTTCAAGAGACATATTCAGAAGCAATCCAAAACCTTTCCTCATTTTCATCCAATTGCTTCAATTCCCTGGAATAATACTTGCTGCATTCCCTTCTGGATTATGCTCTCATTTCCCACCAAGGTCATCTGGCATCCATTACAGGTAGAGTTCACAAAATTACACATGCAGTAATCATCTGCAGCTTTTCCCTCTACTTCTTTTTCCCCTTCTCTTCTTCTTTCCTTCTTCTCTTCTTCTTCTTTCTTTTCTTTCTTCTTTCTTTTTTTTTCTTTCTCTCTCCCTCTCCGTCCCTCCCTCCCTTCCTTTTTTCCTTCAGTCTACTCAAATTACTTTAAAAAAAAATAAAGAAAAATTACCTACAATAAAAGCTAAACTAAAGAGATTTTTTTTTTTTTTATAAAAACAATAGCAGGGAAGCATCAACATTTGCTCTGTGGGATTTACCCCTAGACCTTACTGCTTACACTATTAATTGCCGGGGTCAGTGGGGTGTTTTCTATCTGTGTGAATGTTCTGCTCAACTCTCAGAGGGTAAAGCAGAAGAATGTAGTGGTTCTACTTTACTCTACCATGGCTAGGAAGTCTACATATGTTGCAAAAAGTCCCCCGTCTGGTGCCAAACGAGACCAGGATCATTTACAGAAAAGTTGTGAAGAGAGAGCGTATTCCGTGCCCTACCTGTCACTGAAACTAGAGATGTTTTTCTCAGTACTGTAAATGAATTTATGGTATAACTTGGACGTAAAATTCCTTATGTTCTTCTAGATACTCAAACTGTGAAATGAACATTTTTCTCCATAATTAATCCAGGTTTGGCATCCTGCAATGCTTGTGGACTGTTCTTCCCACCACACTCCTTCTTGCTCATCACCCTTCTACACACCAGAGACTTGTCTTTTTAAACATCAAGTTTGTTTCTCTTCCCCAGCCTTGCTACTTGATCTTCCTCTGCCTTGAATGCTCTACAGGTCTTCCCATGACTGGTTCTTGCTTCCTCCCACTCATGTCTCTGCCCAGAGCCTTCAGCTGAAAGGTCACTTCTTCAGAGAATTGGCTTGACCACTTCTGGACTGCTATCTTTTTCTTCCCCAGTTTTATTGAGATATAATCGGCATATGACATGGTATAAGTTAAAAGAACACACATGGTGATTTACGTACATATTGTGATGGTCACCATTTTTCACGCCATCTTTTTCCTCCTTCTTAGCACTGATCACTCCCTGCAGTTACCTTTTTGATTTGCTTGTTTATTTCTTACTTCCTGACACTGCATGTAAATTACACATGAACAGGAAGCGTTGGCTATCTTGTTCACTCTATTTGTCTGTTGACCGGAAAGTATCTGACACCTAGGAGCTGCTCAGTAAATAGTTACTGAATGAATGAAAAATGATACAATCATAGGGAAAAGTGATGGAAAAGCACTGCTTAAAGAAAATAATAATGCTCAAGTAAAAGAAAAACTAAAAAGGAAGAAAATGAGGAGAAAGAATCCAAAGAGGCAAGAGAAGGAAAGACAGGATAAAGAAGGAAAGGGAAGCACAAGGAAGAAAAGGAGATGGAGAAAGATGCAGCTGGAACGATAAAGAAAAATGACAGAGGGAAAGGAACAGTAGAAGGGGAAAACAGTAGAGTAATAGAGACGTGACAGTGTCTGTGTGCCATTGGTCTAAGGGACTTCTCTTTGTGCTGTCTTCTGTGCCTTTTTCTTTGGAAGTTGGCTGAACCATCTTCCCAGATCTGAGCAAGCAGTGCACTGAGCAGGTTTTAAGTAGCATCATGCCTTTGAAGGCATTCTGTCCCATTCTGTCTTATAGTTGAAGAGCCAGAGCCCTACTGAAGGAAAGGAACTTGCTTAGGACTGTATGCCTAGGGAGTAGCAGATTGAGAGCCAGATCGCTGATTTCCTAATGCCCAGTTTTTTGTAGATAAGCAATAAAGGTAATATAAATTCTGAATTTCTAAAACCAAACTCCCTCAGAATTCTCCTGGCTTAGGGACATATGGATTTAGAGTAGCTCCCAAAAAAAGGAAAATGCAGCTGCCAACACCATCAAAACAAACTTTTCTCCACTATCTAAGCAATGCATGTGTGACTAATTGTTATGATGTCATATAGTTATTATTGTTTCTGGTCACTCGCCACTCAAGTGAAACTATAAATATCAGATGAGTCAGAAACCATTTCCTAAAATGAGCAATTTATAGAGACTGGATTTAGGTGCAGTAATACATGGAGCATGTGATGTCTAAAATGAGGTGGGGGAGGGCGCCTGGGTGGCTCAGTGGGTTAAGCCTCTGCCTCTGGCTCAGGGCATGAACTCAGGGTCCTGGGATCGAGTCCCGCATCGGGCTCTATGTTCAGCAGGGAGCCTGCTTCCCCCCTCTCCCTCTGCCTGCCTCTCTGCCTACTTGTGATCTCTCTCTGTGTGTCAAATAAATAAATTAAACTTAAAAAAAATAAAAATAAAATAAAATGAGGCAGGGGTGCCTGGGTGGTTCAGTGGGTTAAGCATCTGACTTTAGCTTGGGTCATGATCTCAAGATCATGCTATCCTGTTCTAGAGCTCCGTTCTCAGTGGAAAGTCTGCTCCTCCCTCTCTCTCTGCCCCTCCCCCTGCTCATGCTTTCTCAAATAAATAAACAAATAAATAAATATCTTAAAAATGAGGTTTATGGTGGTTTTCCATATTCGAATACCATAATTTGTATTCTATTTTTGCCCCTAAGTAAAATTTTTCCAGGAGAACTATTAAAGGCACATTGACAACAGAGAAGTGTGATTTTTATATAATCAATCACGGCTGACTCTCCCTTATTCCTAGTCATGAATCGTAAAATCCAATATAAACTAACTTGATTTCACGCAGTAGTTTCCATTTTTTTTCCCCCTAATCAATATTGGCAAAGAGTATTAAATTAAGAGCTCTGAATTTTGGCTTCTTTCCCTTTTCTGTACCTCCCTGATAAAATGACCCAAAAGTGATCAAAAGAAGTGTCACCAATCCACAGACCCTCTCTGTGTAATTAAGTTTATTATTAAGGCATATTCGTGTCAAATATTATCTGACTGAAGTGGAACATGTTTTGTATGAAACGTGTAGAGTGGGAAGGACTGGTCAACTAACGTAAAGTCATCTCTGCCATCTCATAAGGGCCTTTCTTCTCACTACCCTGGTCAGCAGCTACTCCTTTCCAGAGAAACACATTGCCTTTTCTCTTACTGTGCCATTCTTTCCCAAAAATTCTTTGGCCGCAAACATGGCTCAGTGAGTAGACACAGTCAACAACAGTCAAGTGGCCAATAATCCATCTTCAAAGAACCTGATCACTGACATATGAGAAAACAGTTACAAATGTAAATGAGGAAGCAATTCCTCCATAATCTATTGCCCTCTTTGCATAATAAACCGTTTGGATCTGTTTACCAAGTTTGTAGGCTTCCAAGAGCCTATTCAAATGCCCAACTCGAGTGAATGAAGGCTTTCTGTCTAACACACACAGATTCTGTGCATATTTCTCTCTTGCCTCTCCCTCCAGTGAGTCTCACCTTACAATTTTCTCCTCTTTAACATTCTAACTCTCTATGTGTGACTTTCGCATTTCAAAGAAATTACATTTGACCAGAATGAAAGCTATACACGGAGGGAAGGCCACTGTGTCTTGTTTCGAAAACCTGATTTTTACCTTCACATTTTTATTTTATTAGACATGTCCAATACTTTGCCTCTTTAGCCCTTACAACATTATCACAAAGCTACAAATCAAACCATAACTAGGTTTCGCTTAAACATAAATATCGTGTTACTTACTTGACTGTTACTCTGTTGGATGTATCCTGTAGGTCACTAGGGTCAAAAAGTTGAGATTCTCTAAGGCCAAGCTCTTTACAACCTCTTAAGAACAAGATGATATTGTCCTAAAAGGGAAAAAAGAAATCCAAGTCTATATTATTTTATATTATCTTTATGAACCAGTCCCTCCTCTTTAATAGTCCAAATTACCAGAGATGTCAATCATTATGACAGCAAGAGTCAGATCTAACTTTTGGCTTGTTGGATAATAAAATCATACTTGGTTAGGATATGCCAAGGTAAACAGACACTTTCAATCTTCTAAACCCACAGCCATGCCAAATTCATTTTTTCCTCTTTACCTTAACACATTTGTATAAAACTGCAAGTAAAATATCACTGAAAAGCAGAACATGGCATCTTTTGGGGACCAGTACTCCTAGCCAGGGAGCCCCTAAAACTTCCAAATTTTGTCCATGTCTTATTGCTAGAGCTTGGTTCAAACACTAATGTATTTTTTAAAAAATTGGTTTTAGTAGCCAAATGTCATCAACAGGTTCTTCTTTAGATTGACCTTTCTAAATATATTCTTTATCAGCAGGTTTTGAGTGATAATACCTCTCTGCGGACTATGAATTGAGTTAAATGGGAAAAAAATATAGACTGGGAAAATGGGAAAATTTAGACTTAATAGTGAAGGGGGAAAAGAGGAGCAAGGAAAGCTTTTGAAAATAATGCAAAAGACCTTTTCAAAGTGAACATTTTCTCCAGCAGGTACATATTTTCTTTGAACTGGCAGGTATCAGGCACAACTGAGAATTAAGGGTCCTGCCCTTCATCTGTTGGGAGTCAAGAAAAAGCAGATGGCTCTGGAAGGGACTGCAACTGCAGGTCACCCTTTTGGAACATCAGGGTATTAGCTGCAGCTTGCTCGGTTGCAAGTTCCTAATCGTCCTCTTTCTAGAAGGTTTCCGACAAGCTAACTGGTCCCACCAGTTAGAAAGAACTACAAGAGAGAAATAATAAAGATTGGCTCCCGGGGGGGCCAGACCCATGTGAATCCATTTGAAAACTCTAAGAAAGTTGCTACAAAAATCAGAAATGATGGTGATAGTTACTGAATCATATACTCATGCAAGCTCAGTGCGACAAAGCACACAAAAGGCATGGTATTTCCCAATCACCCAGTCTACAGGTAAAGATTCTAAGATGACCAGAATGCTGCTTCCTGGCGTATGCACCCTGCATAATCGCCTCCCTTGGAGAGCAAGTGGGACCTGTGAATGTGAAGGGTACCACTCTGTGATTACCTTACTAACCAGCAGGCTCTGAGTTAATCAAAAGGAAGATTATCTGATTGGGCCTGACATAATCAGGGGAGAGGATTTCAAAGGAGGTGAATAGAATTCCTGGTGGCCAAGAGGTCTATGGCTGCAAGGAGATGGATTCTGTCAAGACCCACATAAGCTTGGATGAGGCTTGGAAGCTCAGATAGAACTTCAGCCCCTGAGATCACCTTGATTTCAGCCCCTTGAGACTCTGAGCAAAGGTCATGCCACGTCCCTACTTCTGATCTCCAGAAACTAAGATAAGAAATGAGTGTTGATTTAAGCCTCTAAGCTTATAGTAATTTTTTATGCAGCAACAAAAAATTAATAAATGCAGGCACAAAACAGTAAGAGTAAGAGCAATAAATCACTAACCTTTATATAAGCTTTATATGCCAAATATTGCCCCAAGAGCTTTATATATGCTCACTCATGTAATCCTTGCACAACCTTGGTAGGCACTTAGTAGGCACTTACTATCATCCTCATTCATGGGTGAACAATCTGAGGCACAGAATAGTCAAGCACCTTGCTCAAGGTCACACAGCCAGCAAACGAGGGAGGTGCCAACAAGTGGTATATAAGACAAACGGAAGCATCAAATCTGAGGCTGGCACTAAAGGAAGTTAGGGGCTGATCACAGAGGGCCTTGACAGCCGCGGAAGGGAGGCTGTGGAAATCGGTGAGGGGCTGTAATCTGAGAAATGATGCTCAGATCTGCAGCAGAACCGGACTGCTGGGGGCAGGCGCAGGGGAAGGGAGAGGGTATGAAGGACTTCAGGGAAGACAGGAGGCAGGAGAACCTGTGAGGAGAGACCACAATCTCACCCCCATCCACATGGAGGGTGGTCCCTCCCAGAATGCCTTCTTTCCCATGTTTTTGCTGCATCCCTGGATTTTCTTCAGCAGTCACAATGCGCCATCACACACAAGACCCAGGTCACTCATGAGCCCTCTTGGAGAAGGACAAGGAGCTGGTCATAGTGTGAAGTTAGCCAAACCCTGCCATTCTCTCCTTCAATTACTTTGTGTGTTTTAAAATCACCAGATTTTTCCTTGAATTTTTTTTCTACCCCCCCACCCCCAACACACACACATCTCCAGAGTTTTATTGGGTGTTCACGTGAGTCTCTTCCATGGCATGCAACTATCTTTCTGGTGGGTCTGTGAGCTCTGAGGGCTTCTTTCCCAGAGGAAAACAATGGAGGATCTTGGTATTCTCTGGGAGTCGTCTGGGCTCACAATAGGACTAACCTGTGATCAGCCTGGAGACCCTTAAGAGGCATGTGACTGTGGTACCTTAGTTCCTTAAGAAAGGCAAGGAGGTCCCTTCCTTTATGCCCTCCCAGATGTGCCCTCGAGTACCACGCTATCTTCATCACACAGACTGCAACTGCCATGTTGCCCGCTGGGCTGGACGGTTCAGACTGGGAGATTTAAGGAACTTCGGGTCTCCTTCCAGCCCCTTTCTGCAACCTTGGACATTGGACAGGAGCCAGACCCAGTCAGGAGAAAACCAGAAGAAAAAGCTCCATGGCCAAGAGCTAACAGGGGCAGCAGCCGGAGTAGGTAAAAATGACTGTGCCTTTAATTACATAAAATGCATCCTGCAAATTCCCACCTGCCTTGCTCTTTGCACTAAGATTTTTCCACATTTACAATTCCAAGCAAAACCCACATCTTAGTGTGTTAGCTCCAGAAGCCAAGCAGTACAACACGTCTCAAACCCCCAGGAGGAGAAGTGAAAGTCACTGATTTACGACAATGACCCATTATATTCGCTCTCATTATCGTAGTATTACAAACCCATTAAAACTTAGGAAGGCTTCAGAAAAAGTTTTTAAGGGACTCTTCAAAAAAGTCAATGTCATTAAAAAAAATTGGACATGACAGAGACATGAGGGCCAAATGTAACTGATGACTTCTGATCAGATCCTAGAGGCAAAAAGGAAAATAAGGCTATAAACATCTAATTTAAATGTGGACTGTATGTTGGATGATGTTGTTGAATGCGTGTTAATTTTCTCAGGCAGGATGATGATGATAAGATGATATGATTGATATTGCAATTATATAAGAGAAGGCCTTCATTTTTTTTTTTAAGATTTTTTATGTATTTATTTGACAGAGAGAGATCACAAGCAGAGAGGCAGGCAGAGAGAGAGGAAGGGAAACAGACTCCCTGCTGAGCAGAGAGCCTGATGTGCGCTAGATCCCAGGACCCTGGGAACATGACCTGAGCCGAAGGCAGAGGTCACCACTGAGCCACCCAGGTGCCCCGAAGGCCTTCATTTTTAAGCAAATATATACATTATTTCGGGACAATTTATCATAATGCCTGCGACAATTTCAAATGGTCAGGGGAAAAAATAAGGGTGTGTGCATATAAGAAAGAGAGAGAGAAAATGTTTACCCATCATGGAAAAAGAGATAAAGCAAATATGGCAAAATATTAACAATTGGTGAATCTAAATTAGGGATTGGTGAACTTTTTTATGTGAAAGGCTAGGTAGTAAATATGGCTTTGCAGGCCCGGAACGGTCTCTGTCAGAATGACTCAATTCTGCCACTGTAGCCAGACGATGCGTAAAGGAACGAGAGCAGGTGTATTCTGACACGTTTTATTCACAAAAGCAGACCCTGGGCTGGATTCAGCCTACAGGCCCTATTCCAGGAGAATGAGGCACAGGGATTCATTATGTCACGCTTTCAACTTCGCTGTACCTTTGAACACTTTCCAAAAGAGGCTTGAAGAGAAAGTTTTTAAATGTGTAGAAGCATGGGGCGCCTGGGTGGCTCAGTCGGTTAAGCATCCGACTCTTGGTTTCGGCTCAGGTCAGGATCTCAGGGTTGTGAGATCTCGCCCTGGGTCGGGCTCCCTGCTCAGCACGGAGTCTGCTTGGGAGTCTCTCCTCTCCCCCATCCCTGCCCCCACTTGCACTCTCTTTCTCACTCTCTAAAAATAAATAAATAAAATCTTTAAAAAAATTTTTTTTTTCTGGTAGAAGCGTATTCAATGACATCATGTGGCTGGCAAGCCCAGTGTCGTGAAACTCGAGGAGAGAATAATGGTTGCCTCAGGGATGACTACTGCAAGCCACTGAGGTAAATGCCTCAGCAACACTGATGGAAAGCTACCACCTCTAGCTAACTTGAAAGTACTGTAACGTGAGTCTCAATTCAACCCAGATTCTTAACATCAAGTTCTTAAGAGAGTCCATTTTGGGCTAGACCCATACTAACATGCGCATTCATACTGCTGCTTGCGCAACTACCATGTACGCACTCCTCCTCGTTCCTGCTTCAGTGGCTTCCCATTTCATTAATTTGTGGGCCTGCTCTGTGCGTGAAAACACTCCCCAGGGCTCAGGGGTTAAGGCCTGTGCTCTCCGCCCTCCCCAGAGCCTCTTCTCTGAAAAAGGTCCTTGAACTTTGCCACCTTCTTTTCTTGCTTCAAAATCAAGATGAAGGCAAGCCCAGGATGTTCTCTACCTCCAGAGTACAGCACTGTCCCTGGAATTAAGTAGGTACTCACTAAATATTTAAAATAAATTAAGTACTGCGTTCTAGGGACTGACAAGAATGAAAAAATAAATTCCTTATCCTCATGGAGCTGACATCCGAGTAGGTGAAATAATAAAGACTTAACAACCAAAGTGTCTTATCTTCTAGGTTAATGTCCACGATATATTAGATAGCTGGATTTGTTCAAGACACCGCTAAACAGAGGTCTGCCTTCCAATTAGACGGTGGAAATGAGGGGCGCATGGGTGGCTCAGTCAGTTGAGTGTCTCTTG